TTTATTATTGAAAATTGGTCCGTATAAGTGATGCCTAAAAATTCACCTAAGTTTTCTAAACCACTTTCTAATCCGTCTAATTTTAATCTAGGATCAAAAACTGTACCTAAACCATATAACAAAGGCAACTTAGACCAATATTTTTTAAATTTTTTTTCCATAGATTGAATAGGAACTCCTAAGATTGGGTCCTCCCTATATTCGTGAAATAAAATACTAATTCTTAAAAGTTCTCCTAAAGCTAAAGGTGATGTTGGGTAGTATGTTCCACTAAGTTTTAGAGTAACTTCATGAAACCTACCTAAAAATTGATACAAAACTTCGGCAATTTGCCAATCAAATTCATCTATATGTCCTACTCCTAATTTTGCACACATATAGTTTGTTATAGCATTCTTATAAGTGATGCATTGTTGAAGCATAATATAAGTTGAGTTCCATCTTATAGGCATATCTAACGCTAATGCTCTAGGAGGTATATTTAATGCTTGTAAGAACCTAAACCAATCTTCTTGTCTTTGGTTACTACCTTGAATCCATGCAAGACTATCTCTAATTCTTTTAATGTGATTGCCCATTTCTTTTAAACCGGATTTAACTATTAAATTGATTACATGACATGCACAACGTTGGTGGAAAATAATACCGTCACCGAATTGTCTATAACTTGTCTGATTATGAACAATAACTTGACAAATTTATCCATAACTTATCTAGTTATGAACCATAACTTGACAAGTTATGGCCTATTAATTTCTATAACTAAAAATTGGCCTATATACTTTCTCAAGCTTTTTATATTGGCCTATTTTCTACTATTTCTGAATATTCTTTAATATTATACTTGATGCGTAAATGTATGCTTACCATTTACTCTATTATGATAACTTTCACCACGTATATTCATCACATATTTATTCTATCGTGATATTTCATCTAATTTATTATTTATGTGTTAGATTTTCTTCAAAGTTTCATTTAAAAAAATGCTAAAATAAATTCGTCATGGACATCAATTTTTCTGTAAAACTTCGGCACCTATACTCTCACGGAATACCCATATTTTCATATGTTAATGCATTTCACAAAATAAGTTAGCACGACATCCCTCTTAGCTATTAATTATTATAGTGGTATGTGAATGCTAGCACAACAATAATAACAGACACATCATTACGAGTTCTAATCACTATGATCATCAGTTGGACAGTTAAGTAATTTTGTCTAGTCCAGTCAGACTAGCATTAAGTTTAGAGTAAATTGCACCGTTACACCTCAAACTATTCACTTTTGGCAAAATGAACCATGAATTTTCAATTTTGAAACAAGATGCACTCTAACATTAAAATCAATTGCAATTGAAATCTAATAGCTGATGGTGTTATCAAATTACAATTTTAGACACGAGATTTACACTTGACATAGTGTGAAAAGTAATGATCTTTGTCTTTCATATGTGAATCTCGTGTTTTAAACAATCAATTTGATAATGTCATTAGCTATTGGACTTCTATTGCAACTGATTTTAAAACTTCATGATGCATTTTGTCAAAATTGAAAGTTCGGGGTCCATTTTGCCAAAAGCAGAATAATTTAGGGTGTAACGATGCTCTCTACACAACTTGCATCCCATGCCCTGAATAATTTGTGAAACAGATATACCACAGTCAATGTTCATAACTCGTTAAAATTGAACATCTCGCTTTGAAAGTTGAACATCGACAGTCAAGCGAGATATGCGTTTCACCCTCTCATATTTTTCTCAAGCTGTTAGGGCTCTAATGCTGATAAACGCTAAGATGGACGACATGCATTTCATTTACCTCACGTGATTACAAAATCTTCACTTAATAAGAAACATCATCCTCGGAAAACTTAAGATACGGCGAGAAAAACTTCAACTCATATCTATTCAACAGAAGATACGTACAATGATCAACTAATCTGCGCAATTTTCTCCTCGCAAGATTCTCTGGGACGAGCCGCGCTTAAAGTTCTGTTCCTGGTGTTGGATGCAGCAAAGACGTTCGTATTACTTCGCCTACATTTTATGCAAAGAAACTGAATGAAATGTTGGAAGTTGGAACAGAAATAAATCAAAATCAGAGAATCAATAATTTGCTCATACATTTTAAGACATTACCGATGCAAAAATTCTGTTCAATCAGAGTCTTCGCCCGTCCAGCTAAGTAGCTGAAATATGTTTCAACACAATTAGACAGAAAGATACGTTTTAACAATTTAGGGAGTGAGGAGAGTATCTCCAACTGGCTCACCACCCTTGATAATATTTCTAATACAACATTCTTAAATTTATCTGACCTCCACGATCTTGTCCACAGAGGCTTTGATAGATTGAAATGTTTGGTCGTGCTCGGTGTTTGAAGTATTGATAGACACTTGCGACTTCACTGAGAAAGATCCAGATTCATCAAACTGCAGTTCAAGATGAATGAGTTATCCACATTTACATTTATTACAGTTGTTGGAAATCTAAAGATTTGATTTTCTATTTTAGGAAATTATTTGTGCAGCTAGGGATCCGTGAATAGACCTAGTTTATTTCTATTTCTTGATTCTTGATTAGAATAGTCGTTCCCCGTTTTTTAGTGGGAATCTCAAATTACTAGGGGATTGACAGAGGTCAAACCTCATTTAAATGAGGTTCTATTCCTTTTATAAATCCCAATTATTTACAGCTCTTTTCTAATGTATAATTGAATCAGTTTTTTCCTATATGGTATCAGCGCATACACTCTCTGACAAATTTTTTTTGATCACTTTCAGCCTTCGTTGCCTAACCGTAGCCTTTCAAATTCGACAGCTTTTATTGGTGTTAGTTGGCCTTCATAGCCAAAGATCCCTTTTCATCATCATCTTTGTTTTTCCCTCATCCTGAAAAATGTCAGAAGTCTCTTAAACGCATCCAAATGCTCTGGAAGTGTTTCTGAATCACTCAAGTGAGAAACTCCAGATTATCAATCTCTCATATAGGCTGAACGAAAGAAACTACAAATCAAGATGGAATGTGGTGCACATACTGTAAGAAGCCACATCATACAAGCAGAAACTGCTTCAGACTCCATAAAAGGCTCAAGGTCTTAGCCAAAATGAAGGGTTTAGAGGATGACAAAGAAGCCAAGCACACTTCACAAATGGCGAAGGTCTCTCTCTCTGTCTCTCAAAAACAAAAGGAAAGAAAAAAAAAATCCACACCAACAATGATGAGATTGGAGAACTCAAGTAAGAAGAAACAGACAAACTCATAAATCTGCTCCATTCCCTTGACAAATAGTATGTGTTTAATTGGTTCAATCATGTAAGAGCCTGATAAGATCTTGAAAAAACACAACAGAATAGAGAGCAGAACTGAAAGATTGAAGCTTCATTGAACAAGAATTGCGATAAATGATACAATGATTAGCAGCAGTTGACAGGCTGCAAGTCTCCTAAGGGTTTCTCAAATTTCCACAAATCAGACCATATCTCCCACTCTCCACTAATCCCCTTTTATACTACTAAGTACCTTCTAACTCCACACTAACTAACTGCTAACAACCTTCACTAAGCAGCAATTAACCAACAGTAACTAAGAAAACTAACGAGAGAGGAGATGGTCATTAGGGAGATACAAGACTAGGTTAGTTGTAAAAGGCTAAACCCAAACTTATGGAGTAGATTATCAGGAGTCATTACCTTTACTAAGCAGCAATTAACCAACACTAACTAAGAAAACTAACGAGAGAGGAGATGATCATTAGAGAGATACAAGACTAGGTAAGTTGCAAAAGGCTACACCCAAACTTATGGAGTAGATTATCAGGAGTCATTTGCCCTTGTAGCAAAAATGAATATTGTGCGTGTTATGTTGTCTTTAGCTTCTAACTTTGATTAGTGCAATTTGGCGTTAAGAACACTGTTAGCAGATAAGATCTTTTAGAGATAGGTTGAATAAGTCAAATAGTTATCTTTATTATTTAGTTTATTATTTCCAGTTATTTGGATTAGGAATTATCAATTAGTATTTGAATTCAAATAGGATAGATTATCTTAGAGAAGATAATGGACTCGGTATTCAAGCCCTAGTCTATTTAAGTGAACTTTCATTCGATTAATAAAGCAAGGCAGATTTATTTAAACTGCGTTCAAACACCTTCTTACATGGTGACTTGGAAGAGAAGGTATACATGAAACCTCCACCCGGCTTTGATGAAAACTTTGGTGCTAAGAAAGTGTGCAGGTTAAAAGGCCGACCCTATATATGTCTTGAAGCAATCACCTAGAGAGTGGTTGAGGAGGTTTACTATGGACATAGCTTAAGGGGTGAGCATGGTTAGCCAATTCATGCATGATTTGAAGGAAAAACACTTGCAGGCTATTAACATGATCTTACACTATCTTAAGGCCGCACCAGCGAGAGGAATCTTATTTGAGAAGAATGAAAAGCATAACCTAGAAGCACATACAGATGATGGTTACGCAGGGGTGTGCAACAAACCATCCAAACCACTTAAACCAACCAAACCAAAAGAATAATCAGTTTGGTTTGGTTTAAATTTTTAAAAAACCAATTAAATTAGTTTGGTTTGTGGTTTTACCCTTAAAAAAACCAAACGAAACCAATATTCCTAAAATTATATATATTTTATATATCTATAAGGTAAAATATTTATAAGAAAAAGTACGTTTATTCTAAAACTAAATGATCATGACCCTAGAAGTTTCTATCATAACCTATATAATGGAATGTATAGTTATTATATAAAATATTAGTACCAGTTACGGTTGAGGCTAGAGAAGAGGTTGTAAAATATTAGTTTAAACCAATTAGAAAAACCAAACCAAATAACCCTAGAAGTTTCTATCATAACCTATATAATGGAATGTATAGTTATTATACAAAATATTAGTACCAGTTACGGTTGAGGCTTGAGAAGAGGTTGTAAAATATTAGTTCAAACCAATTAGAAAAACCAAACCAAACCAATTACAATCAGTTTTGGTTTGAATTGGATTAAATCTCTTAATTGGTTTGGTTTGGTTTGAAAATCTGTAAACCAATTTGTAATTGGTTTGGTCTGCATTTCACCTAAAATAAGTGGTTTGGTTGGTTTGCACACCCCTAGGTTCTATAGCAAATAGAAGATCCACACAGGCTATGGTACTTTCCCTGGTGGAAATTTAGCGATGTAGAAATAAGAAGCAGTTTGTGGTTGCAAGATACAATGGGGAGGCTGAATTTAGAGCCATGATCCAAAGATCTGTGAATTACTATGGCTGAAAATATCTATTCACCGGCATGAGGGCAGTTTTGGAAATCCAAAGATTTGATTTGCTATTTGTTGTGTGTTCTTTGTACAACTAGGAATTCATGAATATCTACTGCTTTATTTCTATTTCTTGCTTAGAATTGTCGTTTCCTGATTCTTAGGGTATCAGAAACTACTAGGAATTCACAGAGGTGAAACCTCATTCAAATTAGGTTCTATTCCCTGTATAAATACCAATCATGTACAACTCTAGTTTAATATACGACAGAATAAGTTTTTCCAAAGTTCTCCGTCAACATATGTAGATCAGAAAGATAAACATATAATAACAAACATATGATATGCCAATGTGCAAAGCAAAGCAATGAGAAGCAAAAGAAAAATGAAATACTGAACAACTAATATGCTTTTTGTACCCCTTTAACATGACTCCTTATTACAATCTACAGAGAGAATAAAAATTTGGAACAATTCACACATATAACATATGAAATGGCTGTATCTAGCGAACTGAGAAATGGTCAACACTACTCCAAGCCAAAAAAAAAAGTTTCTCTGTCAGTATCGATACCAAACACAAATAGCTCTAGCTGTTGAGACATAGCAATGGGAATAACTGTGCAGTGCATTACCATAACTCAAGATTAAAGAGCAATCACCTAAAAACTATAGACCTTCCATTTGTCCCATTAAAAAAAGAAAAAAAAAAAAGCATATTTCTACCATAGTATAGCCAAAAGAAGTAATACCTTGATGAAGATTGCAGCAGAAGATGTCTTCAGAGATAGAGTTTCTACAAAAGGAAAAAGCCCTACCATAGCATCCACAAAACTAGAGTAATCATCAATAGGGAGAGATAGATTTGTGATCTCCAAATGCTTTAGCTCATACAACGGATCGGGTAGAAAATAGTTGTCTCTGAGTTTTTCAGTAAATCCCTAAATCACAAAAGAAACGGAAAAAAATGAGATATCTGCATTTGATTGGAGAAAGTGACAAAAAAGCAACAAAAGCTTACAAGAAATATTACCTCCAAGTGACAATCTAGTGTTAATACTTTGCAATTGCTAAAACTTTCAAGAAAGTTTCTCAACCTAATAAACCAAAACCATTCTGTACAGTCTAAAGAACCTGTGTACAACTTGAGTTTAGCCTCCAGGAAACCAGAGCAGTATTTAAAAGTGGAAATGTGGAAAATCGCGCCACCATAGTATCGAAACGAACGCAGGTTCGGCATGTCGATCTCAGCCTTCTTCAACCTCCAGCAACGTCTAAACTTCAAGCTCCTGAGATTAGAGTGAGATATATGAATAATTCCAGGCATCTCGCAGCCGTCCAGTACTAGATTCTCCAAGAGCGGAATCTGGGAAATGTACTTGTCAATCGTACATACCGTCGTGAAAACGGCACGATCAATATGCAGAGTTGTTAGGGATTTACAATTGGAGAAGCTAATAGTGCCAGGGGGCCTAAAGGTCCTCGTATAAGATAAGTACTGGAGATTCGCAGCATCGATTACAACTTTTTGTGCTAAATCCTCAGAAAGAGTGACCTTCAATGATCTGAGGCTAGGGCAAGAAACACGGAGCTCATCGAAACCATAGCAGAATCCGAATTCTAAATCTTCCAGCCAAGGGAAGCACAACAGCAGATTCTTCAAACTGCCCTCGTCTATGAAGTTGCAACTCAGCTTAAGCTTCTTCAGAGAAGAAGAGATAGCCGATAATGGATTTGCAATGTAAAATTGGAAGCACTTAAAAGACAAATTATCGAGCGAATTGCAGGCCAAAAGTATAAGCCACAGACCAGAATCGAAGTCTATCCAAAAAAGTTCATCAAAATTGAGGTTACGGAGTTCTATCACCTTGACGTTACGGCTCGTGGCGGCGGCGATGACCTGGTTGAGGCGAGAATACGATTCGTCGCTGGAGAAGTCGGCGGTGAGCGAGAGCCTCTCCATGTTGACTCGGCTGTCGCAGCGATCGCGCCAGAGAGCCAAAGAAGCGTCGACATAGTCGAAGAAATCGAGGTTCTTGAACGGCACGGATCCTTCGTTGAAGGAGAAGACCGGAGACGAAATCCAGGCCAATCGCCATTGCTTCGACGTTGCAGAAGCTCGAATTGCATCTTCTCCGGGGAGAAATGACAAGATTTTGTGAATCACCTGCTCTGGCAAGTCCAAATTCGATGTTTGTTCAATGATCGGGCCATCGATTTCCACGGCGGCCATGAAGAATTCAAATCGATTCCAATTTGCGTTTGGGAAGGAGAAAAAAAAAATCAGCTAAATTAAGTGAGTAGTAGCCCAAAAGGTCGGCATGTCTACGTGCGCCCTTTCAAGCGCTAACGAAGGATGCTAGCTTAGGGCTCTAGGGGTTTTAGAGAGAAAATTCCGGCGCCATATATTTGAGAAGAGAATGAAGTAAGCACACCCAATTTATTTCACTAATTTAAATTTTATTATAATAAAAAAATTTTAAAAACCGTCACATTAAATATTTTTATTATAATAAAAATTTTTAAAAATTATTACATTTAATTTTTTTATTAGTAAAAAATTCATACATAAAATTACATTTTAACTTAAATCAATTAACTAAACATACCTTATATATTTCAAATATAAATGTTCTTTTTATCACTAATAAAAACTATTTTTTTCAACGTTAATATTTTTACGTAAATAAATTTTTTTTATTACTTAAATTATCTTTTATTAATAGTAAATGAAAATAAACAGCTATTTTTTTTAAATAATTTTAAATTTTATTATTTATTTAATTTTATTTTATAAATTAACTATTTATTATAATTTTTATTTTCTTTTATTTTGCCTGGCTAGCCGGCTTGGTGCAGCTCAGCTTGGTCTAAAGGCCGACGAGTCAAGGTTAGATCAGACTGTTTTAAGGTTTTTAATTTAGGAAAACAAAGGGTTCGAGCTAGATAGAGTTCGAGTAACTCATTTAGCAATGGGAAAAAAGGTTAATGTCAATTTAACTATCACACTTTGCCCTTTCACTTTCAACTATCACGTTTGATTAGAGGATTCGTATCATGATTTAAATTATGATTCGTGACTCGTTACAGTATTTTTTCTCACAAAAAATACACATAAATTAAAAATAGTTCTAAATCATGATTCTAATACATCAACCAAACGTGTAAAAGCTACCCAAAGAGGGAATTGAGAAACATACGTGTATTTTCTACAGCGCATAGTCGTTTTCTTTTTCTTTTTCTTTTTTGAAAATTACATAGTTTGTGTATTTAGCGTTGTTAAAAATATAATGTGCGTTTAAAATTCGTTCTAAAATGATTTTATTTTTTGTATGAAAATGAAAATGAAAACGTTTTCAATCTCAGACAGAAATCATTTTTGAAAATGTGTTTGGTAGTTTTATCAAGAGATTGTTTTCAGTACAAAAAACCCATTAATGTCTTTCTTTCTCTCTCTGCTCAAGAGAGGAGAAAACGAAAATAAAAAATGAAAAACGACTAAAAGTCATTTTTTATTTTTCTCTCATTTCACACTAAATCAAAAAATTGTTTTCATTTTTCATTTTTTATCTTTATTGCGCCAAACGCCGTTTTAAAAACGTTTTCATTTTTTCTTTCTCAAAAAACATAAAAAACAATAACGATATCAATTCCAAACATGACCATAAAATCTTCGATCATTACAACATCACGGCAAGAGAGCTATACATTTGATTGCCTACAAGTTAAATTATCCGTTGCCGAGGTTACACAAAAAAAAGAAAACTTTACTAACCAAATTATCCATTTAAATTGATTGTTCAATTTACACCTAATTCAAACTTATGTTCCACTGCACTAACAACCGCAATAAAACCTAGATCTGATCATACACAAAATATGTTATTAGCCCATTGAAATACCTAGTCCATCAACACAACTCTTTAACACAATCTCGCATGCATTCATCATATGACGAATGAGACAGAAAGTTAGATTTGATGAAGGAATGCATATACTTAACGACGGGTCATTTGGAATATATATCGCTCTTCATTTTTTATTCCTCTTGTTTTGGCTTTTTTTTTTTTTTTTAACTTTCGATCTGTATATATTTTGACCGTTGAATATGCGTATTTTTTTTTACTTTTACATAATTTTATACAGATCAAACAGACAAAAAACTTAATCTATGAGTACGTTGACGTACCAAAAAATATATTTTTTTCTTAAATCAGGCCAGCGTGTGTTAGAAGGACTGGACTATTCCTTTGAGTTGTCCTCGCGTTTACCCCCTCAGTCCGTTTTTTCATCTAACAGACAGCTAAATGCCCGTTTAGTTTATTGATTCGAGTATTTAATTCGAGTTGAGATGTGACTTTATGTGAGAACTTTTTACTATAGTAAAAAAAATTAAATGTGACTGTTTCTAAGAGCTTTTTATTGTAAAAAAACTCGAATCAGTTAAATAAACATGACCTAAATATACATACACACATACATATATATAAATATATATTATATATATGTATACAGACAAACACAAAATACGTGAACGCCAATACAGGACGGTTGGACACCACAATAGTAATTCTATTTAGAGGACGTTTGGTTGGAGGATTCAAACCATGTGATTCGAACTATTTTCGATTTACGTAAATTTTTTGTGAGAGAAAATACTATAGCGAACCACGAATCATGATTCGAATCAGGGAACAAATTCCTCTACCAAACATCCCCTTAAATTTTGTTTAGTTCGTTGATTCCAGTTTTTAATTCGAGTTTAGATGTGACTTTATGTGAGCTTTTTACTGTAGTAAAAAAAGTTAAATGTGACTGTTTCTGAGAGCTTTTTACTGTAGTAAAACTCAAATTGGTGAAATGAACGAGGCCTAAATTTCTAATTTCATAAAAAATAATTTCATTTAACATGTCATCACTCTAGCTATAACAGTAGCGTATAAGTACAGGTGCAAATAATAAAAGAAGCCTTATCATGAGTTCTAATAACTATGACGACCTGAAGAAACTTTTTACAAAATTGTAAAAAAAATTAAAAAAATTTGTTTGGTCCATCTCATGTCGTACATATTCTGTGAAACAGCTACATTTATCAGAGTCAATGTTCATGACTTGATAAAAATGCATATCTCGCTTGAACATTGATAGTCATGCGAGACACATTTCAGCCACTCATATTTTTCTCAAGCTGGTGGAGTCTAATGCTGATAACAGATCCAAATTATTAAAAAGTCTTCACTTCAATCATTCATATTCATAACAAATATCATGTCACGCCCCCAAACAGATATTAGTGACCAGTGACGTAGAGATTTATTTAAAAATTTAAACATATTTAAGAAAATGATTAACAATTAACAGTTTAAAATTAAATTTCAAATCTAAAATATTCAAGTATTTCTAAACAAACCCCACTATTTATAAGAAATTAAGTTTCAAGAAGAGTGGTGGAAATTCCAACAAAACAAGTTCAAAACCTCACTCTTGGTAACATATCAGGAATCCCCACAAATTTAGCATATATGAACATAAACAAGAAAGTAAATGTTGATATCAACCACAGTCTAGCAATATTTGAGTTTACAATCTATAATTTAATACATACCTTAAGGAAAGTAGGAAGGAAAAAGAAAGGAAGGTGCATATCTTCACTTTTCGGAATCGGATTCACCTCACCGGTAATGGTTACCTATTCAGCACTACTTCTCGCATCACCTGGTGGGATTAAATACATTTGAAACAAAAAAAGTGAACAGAAGGCCCAGTAAGATAAAACTTTATAAATGAAAGTGCTCATGGCCCAAACATATCATCGGGAGCCGATCATCCTTTAAAGGAAAGAATACTCATATAATAGTAGCAAAATATCTAAATAATGAAAATATGCAAAGCCATAATATCACCACTGAACAAAAAGTGGCTCGTACGGGTTTCGAAACCTGCCCCTAAGGATACGATTCTCATATCCTGATCTCTGCGGCCATCATGCGTTTTTATCATTTCTTATCATCCAAAGAAAAGCACTCAATTCCGATGCGATGGAAAAAATTTAGATTGCTATTTACCAGAAAATATGCATAATGATCAATTAATCTGCACAATTTTTTCTTCTCTCAGATTATTTGGGACGAGACACACAAGCTGAGCGGAAGTTCTGTTCTTGCAGTTGGAGGCAAGTAGGCAGCAAAGACGTTCCTATCACATCTGCCAACATTTTACACAAAGAAACTGAATGAAAATGTTGGAGCAAAAACAAATCGAAATAAAAAAATCAATGACCTGCTCACACATTTTAAGACCACCGATGCAGAACTTCTATTCAATCAGAATCTTCATCTGTCCAACTAAGTTGCTGAAATATGGTACAAGACAATTAGTTAAGAGTGTGCTTTAAAAATTTGGGGGACAGGGAGAGCATCTCCCACTGTCTTACTAATTGCAATTACTGCCTCACTTGGGTTATCAATATTCAGGTCCTCTTCATAGGCCTCGTTCACTTCACCGATTCGAGTTTAGAATTCGAGTTTTGCTACAGTAAAAAACTCTCAGAAACAATCACATCTAACTTTTTTGCTACAGTAAAAAGCTATCATATAAAGTCACATTTCAACTCGAATTAAAAACTCAAATCAGCGAACTAAACGGGCCCGTCATTAATTTGAGTTTATAATTCAAATTTTGCTACAGTAACAATTTTCAAAATAATTTTGATGTCACATGCTTGAAGTTGGCTTACCTCTACAATCTCGTCCATGGAAGCTTTGATAGATTGAAATATTTTATCATATTCATCGGTATTTGGGGTACTGATAAACGGTTGCCATTGCAAAGCGAAAGATCCACATTCATCAAACTGCAATTCAAGATGAATGAAATATCCACATTTGGGATGCGTTTCTCTAAACCATGAAGGAATATAAAGGAAAGGTAATAGGATTGCGGGAAAAAAAAGTAAAGTAATAAGAATGGGGACCATAAATTCCCTTTATAGTGTTTCCTTATCTATTTGATTATGTAATGGGAAACAATTTCATTCCTTTTTTAGTGTTTACTAAACTTAAAAATAGTAATGCTATCAATGCAATTTACAAAAATATACATAACTAAATAATTATTGGCTTATGTCATGTGAACTTGTCAAGGGTGTGTATGTAAATGTGATGTTCATTTTTTTAAACCTTTAACAAGAAATCAAATAATCAATACTAAGAGGGCACTGAATTGAAAAAATTCTCTTTCTTCATTCCTTATATTGTGTGGAACCTATCAAACTGTCATTCCTAATTTTGCATAAACACATGATTAAAAGGGAAAATGAATCACTCTTCCAATTCTCTTTACCTTTTATTGAATAATTCCGCGTCGATCAAAGGGACAAATATACGCCCCGTTCTTTTCGCTTATTCGAGTTTTGTTACAGTAAAAAGTTCTCAGAAATAGTCACATCTAACTTTTTTACTACAGTAAAAAGCTCTCACACAACATCACAATAATTTTGTGATTTACCTATCTTATAACTCAACAAATATAATTATGTTTTTTTTATAATATTAAAAGTCAACCTTTTTTTTAAAAAAAAAAAAAAAACAACGTCTTCATATTTTAAAATTGATTTTTGAGATGCAAAACAATCTCAATACCCTTCTATTTAATTAAGTAAAAATTAATAGATTTAACAGAAAAACTGAAAATATTTTAAAAACATTTAAATTTTAGGAAAAAAAACGTACATAAAAAAATCTATTCCTCAGTTCTTCTACCTCAATCCAAATTCGAAAATGTGAAATCAGAAAACAACTTCAACAACCAAAATATATCAACCTAGAAAACGTACATAAAAAAATCTATTCCTAAGATCCACTCTCACTTCTTCTATCACAAATAAAAAGGGAAAAAATTATGATCAAATCAATAAATCAGAGAAACAACTGAGATCAACACACAAAACCAAGTTCAGGAATCCTGGAAAAACAAAAGCAAAACCAAATCTTTCATTCAAGATAGAACGTCGTCCCCATCAACAACTAAAAAATCTCCTAATCCAATCTCAATATTTTTTTCTAAATCTCCCAATCAATTCCATTCAAGACGGATCTGAAAAAAAAATTAAAAAAAAAATAATAATAAAACCTTGATTTGGTAATTAATCAAGCAAGCTATAAATCTTTCATTCTCATAATTGAAACGACATTCATTTCAGTTAGTCCTAACAAGTATCATCATTCGTGATTTGAAGTCAATACATAAAATCGAAACCTAATCTCCACTGACACAACCTCTACATCCGCAATGCACACACTCTACAGCTTCAACGTTTCTGTCCTCCTTTCGAACGCGACACACACAAACTCCGTTAAAGTTGTGGTCTAGGGGCTGTATGCAATGTAGGCAGCATAAACGTTCATACCCTGGCTGCAGTTTAAGCAAGAAGCTAAGTCAGAGGATGTTTCTAGATGCAATAGGCTTTCATAATGAAGAAGAATCAGTAAGAAAGGTATGGACTACGGAGTTTTTTGCTCTAAAAGAAAGATATTAAGTTACTTGAGCATGGCGTTCATTTTGCTTTTGAGCGTTTGAAGCAATCTTAAGCTATTATGGAAATCAATTGAGCTCTAAACTAGAAGTTCAGAATGATCTAGGCTTTAAGATCCTGGAGTTAATTTGTTTTTTATTATACGTTTCTGAACATGTGAATTCTTAAGCTAACTTGAAAGTTAAATTTGTGGTAAAATCTAGAAGCTGACAACAAAGTGAGATAAAATAATACAGGAGACTAACAAAATGTCCAATTTATGAGATTAACACTTTTTAAATTGACTTCTTATTACGTTACCTCATTTAATATGAACATTCAGAGCAATTTGAGACTCACTTTGCAGTTTAACTATACCACAAATCTAAAGTAATCCCCTCCCCCAAGTTCTCCACCTTTGACGAGAAGGGGAGAAAAAAATTCTACCCTACAAGTTAAGAATTTGAATTTCGAGCATATTGCTTGGAGGAAGCAATTAGGAATTCTCAACCAGCAACGTTTCATCCAAATGAATTATAGTCAAAGATTTTTTAGACAAACCTTCTTCCACTTCGCAATGAGATAACGATCTGCATAGCCTTGATCCAAGCAGAACTCGTACAGCTCTTTCGATATTGCATTTCTTTTGTGGTAAAGGTCAAAGACATAGCGGCTTCTCTGATGGGAAATTTTGAAAATAGGCCATAAAGCTTCACACTTCCTTTTGCCATCATTTGGATCATTTTGTGCTGCAAAATATACGAGTTACTCTAACAGCGTATGAATGGCAACTCAAGCAGACAATAAAAGAAACTTTTACCAGAATATCAGAACATTTGCAGCTAAAAAAAGGGAGGGAAGGGGATTCACCTTCTCTCATCTTAGCATCTAGCTCCAAAAGAGTAGGCTCAATCAACTCCCAACCATCTGGGTACGTGATCCGGTTAGTCCTAACCTTAGGCATGCTTCACCTGCGGTTTACGAAATCAACGGTTATGTCGGAGAGAGCGAAAACCTCAAATGGTAACAAATTTGTTCTCATAGTAAATATCAATTCTTTTGAGTCATACACATATTGAAGTTGGAAAAGAATGGATTAAAGAAAGAGAAAAAAATATATATCTATGAGGCAGATAATTTAGAGAAGGGAATAGAAAAATTAGAGAGAGAAACCAAACCAAGAGAGAGAAAATTTATTTAACAGGATAAAACATAACATAAATATCAAAAGAATCCCAATTCAAATAACAAATGATCCTAAATAACGGTATAATCTCAAAGTCCTAGTTTCTAATATTATGTTCTGGGATTAAGGATTGTAACAAACATTCATACATTGGAAAGATTCAAAACCAACCCAGTTAGAGCAGACAGAATTTCATTCCATAGGCTCCAATCAGAATTCAAGTGTTTTTTCCCTCAGAACTTCTCCTTTCAGAAAAATTTGGTAACAATCAATAATACCATACACCAAAACAAAATCTAGACGCAAACTTAGAATATTTGGATATTGTTAGAGACCTTTTTAGGGCTTTTAACCATGAATGCTTTAAGCAGAGAGCGCCCAAAAGAGCACAGATTTTCCTACTTTTAAAGGAAATGAAACAATAAAGCCCGTATTTCAGAACCAACTTAATAATCTTTTCATCGAAGAACAAGAGGAAGACGATAACGAATTGGATTAAATGAGATAAAAAAAAAAGGAAAACTATACACCAAACTGATGGGAAACAGAGTTATTAGGGTTTTAACGATTTTATGAGAATGCAATCCACAAAGAGAGAAAGAATTACCTTTGATGTGTGTTTCGAGAAGGGAAAAGCAGGATTTTTGTGGGCATTGGGCACTGGCCTCTGTGTACTGGTGTGTGGTGTCTCCACACTCTTCTCTTCAGAAATTCGAATCCCTGTTCCGAGCCGATAAAATATTTATGTTCCGTTTATTTCGAGAATTCTGTCATAATATAGAACCTGTTCTTTTAGAGTGTAATTTGAGTATAATTTTTAAGTTAAATTTGAATTATAATTTAAGTTAAAGTTGTAATTTGAATAAAGTTGAGTAAAATTGAATAAAGTTAGAACTTAAAAGAACATAAACTTGAATAAAGTTAGAATTCGAGTTGTCTTTTTTTGAGTTTTTTTGACAAAATAACAGTAGTAGCCCCGTTCACTTCGCCGATTCGAGTTTTGCTACAGTAAAAAGCTCTCAGAAACAGTCACATCTAACTTTTTTACTACAGTAAAAAGCTTCCACATAACATCATATCTTAACTCGAATTAAAAACTCGAATTAGCGAACTAAACGGGATAATTCTTAATTCACTATAGTGTTTTTCTCTGAACTTTAGTAGGTTTCAGATTATGGTTTAAACTAATGCATAGAAAAGCTTGGCTTCGGTAGACTGTTGGTACGATCCCAATCCAGCCTAGTCTGTTTAAAAGTTAAGACCAGCTCAACCCGGCTTAAACTCTATTATCAGGCCTGGCCGAGATTCTGAGCTCGAAATTTCATTTAGATCGAAGCGAATTGAAATTCCCATTCAAGTCGTCGGTATGTCCAGACGGTCCGAATTTTCACCTTTTAATGCATACTAAACTAAAAATAATGTTCTAAGATAATTGATTTATTTAATTCAAATACTAACTATTTATCTTATAACTAGTTAATTTAATTTAGTACATTCTTATTAGCTGAAAGAATGAATTGCATTATTGCACCTCAAATTATTTATTTTTACATAATACATCCTGAATTTTTTATTTTGTCAAATTACATTATGAATTTTAAAATCAATTATAATTGAAATCTAATAGATAATCACGTTATCAAATTGACAATTTAATACACAAAATTTACACATAATTTGAAAAATGATAATATTTACTTTTCATGTATAAATATCGTGTATTAAACCGTCAATTTGATAGGATTCATCGGTCCGTGTTGTTGTTAAAATGCTACTAATAAATAATGAGTTAACTAGGCCAAAAGCCTTTTTTGGAGCAGAATTATGCATCGAACCCTCTTTTGTACGAATTCTGTGGTTCGAACATTTTTGTGGTGTAAAATGGCAAGTTTGCCCTTTAGAGATACATAAATTTCTCTCTTTGTCCATTGGAGATGTCTTCCTCATGCATCTTTATCTCTCTAGTCCATACATCATTGATGCTTCGCCGTCAACCACCGTTGTGTTTGTCACCGATTTCTGACGAACAACGATCAACAGATAAATAACTCATCTGACCTTAAATAATGGTGAACAGAGCAGACCAAGCTTTTCTTGTGCTAAACGGCAACTCAAGAGATCGACGCGAGCTCGAGAGAGTAGCCTAGCGAGCTCGATTGACAGAGACTCGAGTCCAAAATCTTCGTTGTCCAACGGTCGCAAGGAAGATGAAGAGATTGGTGAGGTATGCTGCGGGGTACAGTGACAAGGCAGTGGGTCTGGTAGAGACGGTTGCAATGACAAGGGATAGAGAAGAGGGGTGGTGTATGAGAGGAGAGGGAGAAGAGAAGATAGAGGGAGACAATAAAAGAGATTTTGAATCAAAACTTAAAAAAAATTTGAACTCAACTTACAACTTTATTCAAGTTCATATTTTTTTGTAAAATTTGAGTTTGAACTCGAGTTTTAACTTAAGTTTGAAACTAAAATCTAAGGGTTGTTCTTTTGTATTTTTGAGTTAGGGTGATTTGAGTGATGATTTTGAGTTGAGTTTAAGTTATAACTTGAGTTGAAGTTGTAACTTGAGTTTGTGTTTGGATGTGCATATTTGAGTTATGATTTGAATTGAGAATCTTTTTGAGTTTGTGTTTGGGTAGGTCAAAACTTAAATTTGCATTTAGATAGTATTTTAATAAAAACTCAATAGTGATGAAAAATTTTAATAGGGTATATGGGTGGAGTTTTATTCATTTTTTCGTTGTGAATGCATAAAAAAATTATCTCAATAAGAATTAAAACGAAAAAGTTATGACATTTTTAAGAATAGAAAAAATATTGTTCATCAATTTGAGTTCGAGTTTCTGAACTCAAGTTGAAGGGAAATTTGAACTCGAGTTTAACCCCAAATTTGACTTCAAATTCAAGTTCAAACTCGAGTTCAAACTCAAATTTTATAAAAAAACATGAACTTAAATAAAGTTGTAACTCGAGTTCAAACTTTTGCTGAGTTTTGTTGCAAAATAACAACCCCAAGTTCACGTTCCCACTTAAACTCAAGTTCTTAAACTCACACTTAAGTTAATAAACAATATTTTTTTTATTCTTAAAAACACAATAACTTTTTTATTTTAATTCCGATTGCGATTATTATTTTTTCTATGCATTCACAATAAAGAGATGAATAAAATCCTACTCATATACCCTATTAAAATTTTTCATTACTATTGAATTTTTATTAAAATATTATCTAAATACAAATTCAAATTTTGACCAACCTAAATATAAACTCAAATAGATTTTCAATTCAAATCATAACTCAAATGTGCACATCCAAACACAAACTCAAGTTATAACTCAAATTTAATTTAAAATTTACACTCAAGTCACCATAACTAAAAAAATGCAACCGAATAATATTTAGATCCTATTTGGAAGTTGGATTTTATGGAAAAAAAAAAAAATTGAAGAAAAAATAAAAAAATATATAGATGGGAAAAAAGTAAAAAATTTTCACTTTATTTAGAACATTATGATACTCTTTCTATATTCGACCAACAAGAGAGGAAAATGTCGTTCTTGGAAATAACACAATAGATATCGGATCATAAATGGCTTCATTGATGTAACCAACACTAATGCTTGGTTAGAACTGGTGCATAAGAGCCCATCAAGCCAATCGAGGAGGAGCTATCGTGGTAATGCTGTAATGTGTACTAATTTGGTTGACGAGGAAAAAGGAAACCTGAGTGTGTTTAGAAAATGGGTTTAAACCACCGTGATTTATGTTCAAACAATGTTTTTTTTCTTGCTAAAAATTTAAATTAAAATATTTTCTCTTATAAAATTTAAATTTTAATTCAAAACCCACCTTCCAAACAGGACCTCTAGTGTCAAAACTCACTCAAACGTTAGGGGGTGCTTAGTATGCAATAATCTTAAGGATGAGAATGAGAATCTACAATATTACCATGTTTGGTACAATAATTATAATTTTTAGATTCTCAGGAAAGTGATTACCATGGGATTCACTTTCCCTCATTTTGAGGTAATTTAAATACCACCCAACATGGTGTTATTCAAATTCTCAGGAATCTCAAAATCATGAGAATCTTATTATTATTATTATTATTATTATTAGTTTTATTATTATTATTATATTTATTAATATTAATATTAATATTAATAAATATAATAATAATAATAAAACTAATAATAATAATAATAATAATAATATTATTATTATTATTATTATTATTAGTTTTATTATTATTATTATATTTATTAATATTAATATTAATATTAATAAATATAATAATAATAATAAAACTAATAATAATAATAATAATAATAATATTATTATTATTATTATTATTATTAGTTTTATTATTATTATTATATTTATTAATATTAATATTAATATTAATAAATATAATAATAATAATAAAACTAATAATAATAATAATAATAATAATATTATTATTATTATTATTATTATTAGTTTTATTATTATTATTATATTTATTAATATTAATATTAATATTAATAAATATAATAATAATAATAAAACTAATAATAATAATAATAATAATAATATTATTATTATTATTATTATTATTAGTTTTATTATTATTATTATATTTATTAATATTAATATTAATATTAATAAATATAATAATAATAATAAAACTAATAATAATAATAATAATAATAATATTATTATTATTATTATTATTATTAGTTTTATTATTATTATTATATTTATTAATATTAATATTAATATTAATAAATATAATAATAATAATAAAACTAATAATAATAATAATAATAATAATATTATTATTATTATTATTATTATTAGTTTTATTATTATTATTATATTTATTAATATTAATATTAATATTAATAAATATAATAATAATAATAAAACTAATAATAATAATAATAATAATAATATTATTATTATTATTATTATTATTATTATTATTATAGATATTTTTCCATGCGAATAACCAAACACAGTAATGTAATATTCTTGTGAATTTGAAAAATATTCATGTATGGAATCAAACATAGTAATGTATTATTTCTAAGAATCATATTACCCTCCATCACTTTCCTGATAATATGATTCCTACTAATTCCTGCATACCAAACGCCCCTTTGGGGTTTGCAAAACTTGAGCGACGTCGTTTGGTAAGAATAGCCAAGACGGTGCGTTTAGTGGTCTTGACACCTTCCAGACTGTAACCCAATTACCAGCTTATCCCTGTCTAGTACCCATCTCTTTTCTCTCTCTCTCTCTCTTTCTCTCTCGGAGCTCTGGTAATGGCGGAAGCTTAAGAAACGAATATTACAGAAATATCCATCTTCTTGTTTTGCCGTTCTCTCTCCACAATGCGCTCCAAGGACAGAATCTCTTACTTCTACGACGGTTCGCTCTCTCCCTTTATCTTACAATATGGATTGTTCTGTCATACCCATTTACTCTAGTATTGCATTAAGCTCGAACCTTTTCGTGCGTTCGTCTTTTCCCCTGTTTGGCTGCCGAGAAAATGCCGGAATAATAAAAACCCTAAATTGTGTTGATTCGTCTCGTTCTGTAGAGTCGTATTTGGAGAACTTAAAGAAGTTTTGGAATCTTATTCTGTTATCATTGGGGCTTGATTTTCTCGACGACCAAACAGGGGTTTCGGGCGCTTGCAATTTCTTTTAATCGCATCTTTTTGGAAATTAGTGGTATTTAGAGAGATTTTTCTGTTTTGTTTTGTTTTTTTGCAGGGGATGTGGGCAGCGTATACTTTGGGCCTAACCATCCGATGAAACCCCACCGTTTATGTATGACCCACCATCTCGTCCTCTCCTACGACCTCCACAAGAAGATGGAAATTTATGTTGGTTCCCTATTTCTTGAATTCCATATATATATGTGTGTGTGTGTTACATTCCATTTCTTTCAGTACTTTTATGGATATCCCACTAGTTCCTGACTTGTGAAATGGGGCTGAATTAGCAACATTTCCAACAGTAGAATATTCAATTTGCTAGTTATTTGAAATGAAATTCCGGGTAATTTGATGTTAGGAAAGTTGCTAACTCGGCTAGTTTAAGAGCCAGGGCGAAGCGGGACCAGGGGAGACAGTTTATGTGTCTTTCATTAGTTTAGTTTTTAGTTGTTGGCTCCGCAAAGACAGGGGATTTTACTGGAATTTTGATTCTTTGGTTTCTTTCTGTGCTGCAATGCAGCGGCCACACAAGGCCTATCCAGTAGAGCTTGCTCAATTCCATTCAGAGGACTATGTTGCGTTTCTACAGCGGATTACACCTGACACTCTGCACTTGTTCTCCAGTGACTTGGCAAGATGTATGGCTCTCTTGAATGAACAACTCCTTTGTTTTCTATTTATGATCTTAGGCATCGATCTTAGCCATCAGTGGTAGCGACAGTATGTTTCATACACTGGTACGGCGTATAAAATTTAGGAAATTCATTGTTTGACTGGTGTTTAGAAACATATTCAGATTTATGGCTTGTCCAAGGTAGAAGTCATTACATTGGGCATATGCTTAGTCAAATAAAATGTATCAGGTCGGGCTAGTCTGTCACTGAATTTTTTCATTGTTATTATCATCTTGAAGTCCAATGTTGTAGCTCTAGTTGTTACCACATGTTTTCTTTTTTCATTTAGCGTAAAGGGTTAGATAATTGGTGTCTTCTGTTAAGTGTCGGCTGTGGACATATCCTTGAGCATTTCAAGAACTTATTAAGTGTTTGAGTATGGAATGTTTATCTATTGTTCATTTGTAACTTACATGGCTGAAGGGCATTAGATTCTCTCTTCAGATATATATATATATATTTCTTATTTTTTTTATTTTTTTCTCCCTTAAAGAGATTAAGAGCCCCATATTGCTTTCTTTTATCCTCTTTACCAGATAATCTTGGAGAAGACTGCCCTGTGTTTGAGAACTTGTTCGAATTTTGTCAAATTTATGCGGGTGGAACAATAGGTAAATCAACTTGTGGTAGTCTTTTGTTAACATTTGGGTTAAACTTTTTTAAGCTTATTGACATTTGCTTGCAGATGCTGCACGCAGGTTGAACAACCAACTCTGCGACATTGCTATAAATTGGGCTGGTGGTCTTCACCATGCCAAGAAGTGCGAAGCATCTGGGTTTTGTTATATAAATGACTTGGTCTTGGGAATCTTGGAGCTTTTAAAACATCATGCCCGTGTTTTATATATTGATATAGACGTGCATCATGGTGATGGAGTCGAAGAAGCATTTTACTTCACTGACAGGTAGATAACCTTCTAATTTACTACTTTCGTGAAAGCATTTGATAGTAAAGAAGGCGTAACAAAAAAATAGATTTAATTTGATGATAGAATTTATCAATTGAGCTTTGATCGTTCTCTGCCAATTCAGTAGAATAGGCTTTTGCAGTGCAAGCTTACATGTACAGTGTGTAATTGTGATGACATAAGCAGCTGAAAATTCTTGGAAATTGTGAATGGGCAGCATACCAAAATATTTTGTTATGCTTGGTCCCAATTCTACCAACACTTGAGTGTACCTAGTTTAGAATTAACACGTGCTTTCCAAAAATGTATAGTATCAGTGAACTATTGGGAATCAAAGTTTTGATTATAGCTTTTCAATTGGATTGCTACTATGCCTTTGATGATGAAGCATATGAATGAATGCGAAGTGAGAATTTTGATTTTAGCTTTTGCACTTCTTGAAACTCTGATAGAAAAAATTTCAAAGAGACTAGATTGATGGAAGAAATTTGTCCTTTGGAAGATTAACCCTAATTGAATCTGTTCTAGCAAGCATTCTTATTTATTGCATGTCCATTTTCAAAATGCCACTATTTGTTGCCTATATTTTGGAGAGAATGATGAGAAAATTTCTATGGGACAATAAAGAGGGAGGAAAAGTGAATAGTCTTATGGCCTGGGACATAGTAAGCAAAAAGGGGTTTGGGGATAGGAAATTTAAGAAGGAAGAATGTGGCATTATTAGGCAAGTGGTTATGGAGATTTCCTTTGGAACAACACTCCTTGCGGACAAAGATTATAAAGAGTGATTATGGATTGCAGTCAATCAAACGGTTATGTCCCAAATCTTATGGCTAGGGGATCTTTTAGGAATCCTTGGAAGTGCATATCTCTGGGGTTAAATGTTTTCCTCCAGAATACTAAATAGTTGGTGGGCCTGGGCTCTAGAATTATGTTCTTGAATACTAAATCATTCTTTGTTTCTCTTGTTGACAAGAATGATAATTCTACTTTTGAACCTTTTAGATTCATTTGAAATAGTGTTCCTCACAGAATTAAGGTGTCCGCTTTGCTGGTTTTTCATGGAAAAATAAATACTTGTGATAGGGTACAGAGGAGAAATCCTCATGTGGCTCTGTCTCCTTCCTGGTGTGTTCTATGTAGAAATGATTGAGAAAAACTTGATTAGTTACCACATCCTGTTACGTTGTAAAGTGGGCAGATTTGTGTAGCAGAAATTGCTGAATGAGGCAGGTTTTCTTTGGGTATTGGTAGCTCTATGTAAGTCGGCAATGGTGGGCTGGTTCTAATCTAACGGCAAAAGTTCTATGGAGATGTATGGTGATTTCAATTATGTTGACTCTGTGGATGGAAAGCAATGTCAGAATCTTTGAAGAAAAGGAAATGGAGATGATGGATACTATTGAAAAAGCAAAGTTCTTAGCATCATGGGCATTGATGAATAACGTGTTTGAGGAGTTTCCTTTTTCCTGGATCATTTGAAATTGGAAAGACATCTTAGGAAGATGATTGCGGTGCTTTCTTTGATTCTTTTCTTAGTGTTTTTAATGTCCTTTAGTTCCAGTTCTGTTTTTGCTTTGTCTCTTTCTTATTTCTGGTGGATATCTTATTCTCGATACCCTTTAATTGATTGTTATATCAATGAAAGGTGTTTTTCCTTATCAAAAAAAAAAAAAAAAACTCTGATTGAAACTGCATAGTTCAACATGACAGGGTGATGACCGTTAGTTTTCACAAGTTTGGAGACATGTTTTTCCCTGGAACTGGTGATGTTAAGGTGAGTTTTCAATCTTCACGCTTTTCTAATTCTTGCAATAGCTAAAATTTTGATTTGTTACTTGCTCCATATTAATTTCTCTTACATTCCGAAGCTACTCAATTTTCTAGCATTTTCTGCCTTTGGTCTCAACTAATTTTTCCTATTTGAAGATATATGTTTACACTATAGACTCAAATGCCATGTCAAGTGTGTCAGCATACATGTTCACCAACACACTTCCACATTCTTCTTTAGAACGTGCAACTTTTTTCGCCTTAGAAATCCATTTTGTTACCAACCTGTATTTTTTTCTGTTACAACAGGTCAGTCAGTAGAATCCTTTTTCTGTGATTTCGTATTGTTCCTAAAGGTTTTGTTTCAGCCTTTTAACTTAACAAAGACAACCAAGCTATTTCGTTGATCCTGCTTTTTCTGCCAGTTACCTTGTCCTATATTTCATCTGCCACTTTTATGTTCTAAAACTTTTGGTGTTTTTCTTTGGTTTAAGTTCGGTGATCTTCATCTTAGAAACTATTTGGCATGATTTCCCTTGTTCTCATTTTGTTTTATCACTTAATTGGCTTTATATTCATATCATTCCAAAAATACTTAAGACAATTGTCAGGAGCTGCTTACTTTTTGTTTCTCCGCTCTTGTTCTTGTTTTCACTTCTTTCTTTTGGTTGAAATGTCTATGTGATTCATTGATAGTCTTTAGAAAGTTGAAATCTGTGCGATATTCATTGTATTTTCATTGGAAAAGGAAATAGGAGAAAGAGAAGGCAAGTTTTATGCCATTAATGTTCCACTCAAGGATGGAATAGATGACGCTAGCTTCACTCGTCTTTTTAAAACCGTAAGTTCTGTAAGAAGCACTGTATTTCAGATTAATGTCATCGTATGTTGTATGTTATGTGAAGCATAAATCTTTTAACTTCCAATTTTGTAGATTATTTCCAAGGTTGTTGAAACATATCTACCAGGTGCCATTGTTCTACAATGTGGAGCAGATTCCCTTGCTGGAGACCGCTTGGGCTGCTTCAATCTCTCCATAGATGGTGCATATCTACTTGTTTAAAATATTGCTCCTCCCCGTTTTACTGCTGTCAAATAAGTCACAGCATTTTCCCCATTAATTTATGATTAAAAATCTTTAACCAGACTACGCCTTTGACCCCTGACCTTGAAGTTTGGCTAGAATTTTCCAGTGAAAAATGTTGTGGTGATGTTTGATATTCTGATCTTTATTGCACGTTCACTAGAGTGAAATTCAGGAATAATTTGTTCGGAGTAACTGAAATTTAGGAAATTAGTGCACTTGATGGCAAGTAGGTTCAATCTGAAACTCTCTTTCAAACTTGGGGCAATCAAGAAAATCAAAAGAAACAGGGGTTCCTATCAAAAAAAAAAAGGCGGGGGAGGGGGGGCAAATTGAATCTTAGGTCAAAGTCCACTCCAACAAGTCCAAAATTATTGCTTAACCCATTATACTTAGCAATAGACACTTTTTAATTTTCTACTCATTAGCTTTGTTGGCTAGATAGTTTATGTGGTTTCTCTTGATGCTTCTTACAGGTCATGCTGAATGTGTTAGGTTTGTGAAGAAATTCAATTTGCCATTACTGGTATCTTTTCTGTTTCATTATACTTTGCATAGATAATCATTTATGAGTTTTACCATTGGCTTACGGAGATATATCTTGCATGCAGGTTACTGGAGGTGGGGGGTACACAAAAGAGAATGTTGCTCGATGTTGGACACTAGAAACTGGAGTTCTACTAGATACAGAGCTTCCAAATGGTACATGAAGTCTACTTGTCATTATCTTTTAATGCTTGGTTTAAATGTGGCAACATACTGTTGATATTTTTCTAGCTTAATGATGGGCTTTTTTATATTACTTTTTTAACTTTTCCTTTCTCTTAGTCGAGGGTGGGGGAAAGGAAAGGGGTACAGGGGGTTGATTTTCGAAACTTGTATCATATTTGCTGTAATGTGGAATTTCAAGCAAACTGCAGTTGTGAAGTAGATTTTTTTTTTAAGCATTTATTTCTCTGTCCTACTCATTATGCAGTATCACACATAACATTTGATTTTAGCTCATACTATGGGTGCTATTTCAAGACAGAATGCTCAATAGAGTTCTTTTGTTCTTCATTCAGGTTTAGTTTGCTCAATTACGTTTTGTGATCTGTAATATGATATTTCTGATACATTAGAGGTTGAGCTATAAGATCTTCTGATTCCTCCTCTCTGTGTGTGTGTGTGTGTGTGTATTTGGGGGCCTTCAATGACTGGCATTTGAATTCTGTTCGAAGGAAATACCTAGCATCTTTATTTTGGCTCTGTGTTGAAGTAGCTTGTACCGTTATGTCTCCTCAGTTGTCCCCTTCTACTAAGCTTGTAATTCAATTTGTGTTTTGATACGTGTGATCAAGTTGCTTTTTCAAATGTGCGATCTTTCGCCCACTTTTCTGTGGCTTTGAAATCTATTACAAAAATATATGACAACAACAACAGAATAAATTTGTCACATCTTCTGAATCTTTTCTTTATTTATGAGCATATTTTTGAGTATTCTGAAGGGCAGATTTTACAATGTTAATCCTAACAATGGGGAAAATGATGGTCGTTCAAAGGATTTTCTGTTATGGCAAAATGGATAATTTAATGCTGCTCATCTTTATTTTTGAAACTTTTCAGTGGGATAACTTGATGCCTGTCCTCCTTTTATATTTGTACGATTAAGAGTTCAGTTTCATTCTATCCAAACCACATATTTTATTAGCAATTTGATTGTTTTTGCAGAAATCCCTGACAACGAGTATATTAAATATTTTGCGCCAGAATTTTCATTGAAGATTCCACATGGGCACATAGTACGTAGCTTTTAGAACTTTTATGTTATTGCACCCCTCAAAATGTTCTAGGTTATATTTGGTCTGTACCCAGATTTAATAGTCACGTTTGGCTTTGTTTTGCTTAAAATATCGTAGTCCGCAAAGATTTCAATGTGCAATTGGTTAAGTTGTTGTTGTTGTTTCTTTCTTTCTTTTGGTGGTGTCAATTATGCAGGAGAACTTAAATAGTAAATCGTATCTGGGCACTATCAAAGTGCAGGTCTTGGAGAATCTTCGTTACATTCAACATGCTCCTAGTGTGCAAATGCAGGAGGTGAGTACCAATTAAATTACCAGAGAAATATTCTACTTGACAAATTCACTTTTTCCATGAGCGCTTGGTGCAATTAACATATTGTTACATCTGAATTGCTTCCTCCTGCACAATCACTGTCTAATGTCTATACATTCGAATTAGACATCGAATCTTATGTTAACATATACAAAACATCTTCGACGGATGTCATCTATTTTGATAGTTATATGTTCCACACTTGCAAATGACTCTATCACCAGAATTAAATGCTATGTTTGGTCGGAAGGAAAGAAAATAGGATAGAAAGGAAATATGGAAGGTTCGAACTAGTCATTAATGGTCGGCTTCATTGGTACCCTTTCGGTATGCGGCCCTATTACGGTAAGGCCAATGCACCAGCCAGCCGGTGGGGTGGCGAATATGGAAAATAACAATGATGGAAAGGAAATTGATTTTCTTTTATGTTGTTTGGTATGAGAAGATGGAAAGAAAATGAACTTATCTTCACTTGTTTGGTATTGGAAGTTATTACTTAAATTGGGAGGAAAGATAAAATTTTACTCGTAAATTACTTTTATACTATTAAATTTTTTGCTTGGATGTTGATGGAGAAAAGGGTAGTTTAGTAACTTTACCCACTTTAATTAGTTGTCCCCATTTTCTGCCCATTTGTAGAAAGAAGAAAAATAGTGGGACCCACATGTACTATTTTCCACTCCATTTTCTCATCTTTTCTCTTTTCCCTCCTACCAAACAACCTACATTTATATTTTTTCTCCCAAAATCTCTCCACCTTCTCCCTTCTTTCTACTTTTCTTTCCTACCAAACATACAATAAAGGATCTCAAAAGAGAAGCGTCCTTTATTAGAAAATTTTGTTTTGTAGAATGATGCTTTTTTAAGCACCATGAAGGCAAACTTTACATTATAATTCCTATTTGTTTGGCAGGTTCCTCCAGACTTTTATATCCCCGATTTTGATGAAGATGAGCAAAACCCGGATGAGCGTGTAGATCGTAAGTGAAGAATTCTAAAAATCCGCGTTCACACGTTTTAGTTTCCTTCTCTTTTGGCACATCGGTTGCACGTACTTTCTTGCATCAGCTTGTGACTTATTTTCTTCTAATCAAACTTCATGTAAACACCTTTGCAGAGCACGCTAGGGACAAGCAAATCCAACGCGACGATGAATATTATGATGGAGACAATGATAATGATCAGAACATGGATGATTGATACGTAAACTGTAAAATTTACTTGTGTATCCTTTAGGCTCTTCTTTCTAGTTTAGAAATGCTAGATTTATTTGGATTCCAAGAATTTAAAGTAGTTCTGTGCTCAACTAGAAAAACCAAAACTCAAAAGGGCTTGCACAAATACTTCATTCGTATTGCTCTTCTGATTTTTTTGATGGCCCAGTAAACTGAATTGGTAGCCGTTGATTTTGCAAGTTTTATAGAAATGCTTTCTGCTAGAAGCTTAGAAGCAATGAAAGTACAGATCAATTTGTAATACAAAGATTATCCTTTTGGCCTTTTTCATAATCATCATGTTCTTGCTTAAGAGGAGTGTTTTCTTTCCAAGAGAAGGAAAGAACCTTATTTTCTCAATTAAGGACAATGTTTTGATTTCTTCTGATTGTATTGGAAAATAAATATTATCATTACCTCGCCCTCTTCATTTTAAGATTTTAGGAGAATTAATATAAACCAACATTGTATCAAGTATTGAAGGCCCTTGAATGAGGATGTTTGGTAGAGGGATTCGTTTCCTGATTTGAATCATGATTCATGGTTCGTTACAGTATTTTTTCTCACAAAAAATTCACGTAAATTGAAAATAGTTCGAATCACATGGTTTGAATCCTCCAACCAAACAAGTATAAAGCAAATTAGGCCTTCAACTTATAATTTTAATATTAATCTCTTTAACTTGTTAAATTGATGCATTTTGACTCAAAATTGATATCGCCGTTCAACAACTTGATGGTGTAAAGAAGAGGGTTAATTGCAGAAAGTTAAGGTCTAGGGGAAATTTGTCAAAGCACGGAAAGTTAAGAGAGTATTGACCAAAAAAAAAAAAAAAAAAAAAAAAAAAAACCTTCGTATCAAAGCGTGGTTTTATTTTCTAAGTTTGACTTATGAGTACACGGAGGTTCTAAGTTTGACTTATGAGTGAGGTCATGTTTATTTCATTAATTTAAATTTTATTATGATAAAAAATTCTCATAAATAATTATATTTAACTTTTTTATTATAGTAAAAAAATTTTAATTAAAATCACATCTCAACTCAAATTAAAAACTCGAATCAGTAAACTAAACACGTCATGATATTCCTAACTTGTTTTCACGTGTAGATCTTATCCATGTTTGGATTAAGTTTGACTAAGACTAATTCATCCTATAGGTGTCAGTTTTGAATTAGATAACGAATGTCATGGAGCTAAAATAGTTCAAACGCCTACGAAACAACAGATAAATAATCTTCTACCAAAAAAAACCTAATCCCTTCCATTCAATTACAAAGGAATAATCAAATAAAAAACAATTAAAAAGGAATAATAACGTAAAAGCAAACTTGAGTATATTCATAAAAACAAACTTTTTAATAAGAATGATAAAGTAATTACCTCAAATAAAAATTTTATTTATTTATTTATTTTTTGTAGATAGAAATTTTAGTGCAAAATTGGTATTTGTACCAAAAGAAAAAAAAAAAAAAAAAGTATGCGTGTCGTTTTACACAATTGTAACGACGCCGTTCGAGTCCATGGTAATTGGTCTCAGTAGATCCCATCCCGTGTGGCCAAGTCAACGACTGGAAAAAGTCATAGTCGTCCCATTCGTTTGTGTTTGGAATGCGAGAAAAAAAGAAGGAAAAGAAAGGAAACTGCTTTCCTCCTCTAGAACTCTCTTTATTGTTTCCAGAAAATTATCTTTCCCAACGTAGAAGAAGCCTGGACGACGATGAATCAAAGGTAGGTAACTCGAAAAACAGCTCTCAAGTAACTCCTTTCGATGAGCGTAATCTCTCCTTGCAATTTTTCTGAAGCAGAACTGATTTTGTAGTTGGGAAAATTCTGGACATATCTTCTCCTTTTCTTTTTCCTGTTGTTTGTTGTTGAGAAAATTCAGAATAACTGGTCTTTCTTTGATTTTCTCTGCCGCCAAACAAATCATACCGAGCTCTTGGATGGCCAAGAGAAGAAACTATAATCGTTTTTCAGGCTTTTGATTAACGCTCGGTTATTGTCATGGCGATTTTCTCTTGTTAAATTACGTTGCTCAGTTTGTTTGTTAGTTTGTTTATATCTGGCTCATACTCGTATCAAACATTTCAACGTGTTTTTATGTTAAGATTTCAGATAGGGTGAGTTACAGAAACCGAAATTTGCAAAAAAATGCAACACATGTATCTATTTTTTGCAAATTTATATTGTACCCTATGTTTTACAAATCGTGTTAAAAAATCTTCCGCGGATATCGTGTGAAAAACCTTCGCGGAAACCTCTGCTCTGGAAAGGTTTTAACCCGATTTGTAAAGCGTAGGGGATAAGTACAATATATCTGAAAAACATAGGGTAGAACACAACATTCTCTAAAACACAGGAGATGATTTTGTTATTATCCCAAAGAATATATGAGGAGTTAGATTAGACCAATTAATTGTGAGCTTCAAATGTTCATGATTTTCAAGAAATCTGTTTCGGGTGTTGTAGGTGCTTTAACTATTTAGGTACCTAGTTCAAGAGTTGTTCCAGAGTTATTTGCTTTTTAGAATTTGAAGGTCGAATCTGGTATACATTCTGGCAATGGCTGCTTCAGAAGCGTTTGTACAAGTTATGTCCAGTTCATTTCCTCGCTTTAATGGATGTAATTCATCCGTTTGCAATGTAAATGGAGTTCTTTCAATTGAATCAGCAACGAAAGGTAGAAGGAAAAGAAGTTTGGCCTGCCATCAAGGGGTCAATGCTTCGAGAACCACACAGAATGGCTTGAGAGTTTCTGCAGTAGAGGGAACAAATGGTGTCTTTCTTAGAAAATTTGATGCTAATAGGTCGGACTCCACGAGCTGCAAATGTCAACCGGCTAAAAGTGCTAGTGGGATACCCTCGGAAGAGGAGAGTAAATTGCGGTTTAAGGATGAAGCAGATAGACCAACATCACTTCCAATTAATGGCGTAGCTTGTTCACCCAGTATTGATGAACACAAGGAGAAACCTGAATCAAATGGTAAACTGGGTGCAGCAGGAACCATTATAGACAAATTGCATGATGTTAGGGCAAATCTAATCGAGGAGGAAGCTTGGAGTTTGCTGCGGGCTTCTATCGTTTATTACTGTAATAATCCTATTGGTACTATTGCTGCTAACGACCCGAGCAGCACTAGTACTCTGAACTATGATCAAGTCTTCATCCGTGACTTCATACCTTCTGGAATAGCTTTTCTTCTAAAGGGAGAATATGATATTGTTAGGAACTTCATACTTCATACCCTCCAGTTGCAGGTAATGTTATTAACCTCTTAGTCAATGATATTGCTAAAGGAAATAACAATGCAGTTCACCTCATCTACCCATTTCATTGAAGAGTGTTCATGTAAAGAACTTGCATACAAACTTTTCTTAGGAGGATTTGTACTTAATATCAGTCAGTTTTCATTGTGTCTACCTTGTTTTTCTGCAAGTATAACTTGACGACAATAATAGTTTTCTCAACTCATCTTTGATACATTTTAAGCTCTCTCCATTTTCTTTTATTTCTGATAGTGCAAGGCTTTAAACCATTTATTTTGTCTTCTAAACGATCAAATTAACAAGTATCAGCATGATAAATGCAGTCTCTATTTCATGATTAGTAGGAAGCATTGTCTGAAAGTTATCTTGTGATTTTTGACTGTGTTTTGAAGCATTGTCTGACATTTTGTGGTTTGCAGAGCTGGGAGAAAACTATGGATTGCCATAGTCCTGGTCAAGGGCTAATGCCTGCCAGTTTCAAAGTTCGCACTGTTCCTCTTGATGGTGATGATTCAGCAACTGAAGACGTTTTAGATCCCGACTTTGGTGAAGCTGCAATTGGCCGTGTTGCTCCAGTTGACTCTGGTAAGAAATATATAAAAATTTTGTTTTGAAGTACATGTTTTTAGTAATTATATGTCAGTAACCATTTTTTATTTTTCTTTTCAGGGTTGTGGTGGATTATATTGCTACGAGCATATGGAAAGTGCTCTGGAGATCTCTCAGTGCAAGAGAGAGTTGATGTGCAAACAGGGATAAAAATGATTTTAAAGCTGTGTCTTGCTGATGGTTTTGATATGTTTCCAACTTTATTGGTCACAGATGGCTCTTGCATGATAGATCGTCGCATGGGAATTCACGGCCACCCATTGGAGATTCAGGTAGTTTGTCCATCTAATGCTCATCAGAGTCTTGTTTTGAGTTATTTTCTGTTTTTCGTTCATGCAAATTGAGTGCCAGAACCTGTTTAGAGAGGAAAAATAATCCGGCCTCATCCCATTTCCAAAAGATAGTGATAAAGAAAAGCTGGTCCAATCTGACATGTGTTAAAGTATGAGCCATATGCTTTGGCTTCTTAAATGAGAGTTATTTCATCTCATCTCCATAATAGATGAATCAGATTGGTGATTCTCTCTACTGTAATAGTTTACTTACATTATGTGTTTGTATATAGAAGACTGACCTCAAGCATTGATGAACTCGTGTTCTCTTACATGTCTGATTTTGATTCTAGACTGAAATCTATATTCCAGGCTATCGCTTAATTCAATGTCTGGATTGAGTAGTGGTTTCTGTCATGTTTATGAGCCAGTTAAGTATGGTGTGAAAACTGCAGCGTTTGTGCATGTTTATCGAGGATGGTTTAAAGTCTACATTTTTGTTGAGTAATTTGTTGTTTTAAATGAAATTTAATCCTATTTACTTCATAAATGGCCCCCTGGACTTTGTGCCATTTTTCAACTTGCACCCGAATTTTGAAAATGAGTTCATAAATAGGATTCACATGCAATGTTGCAGGCACTGTTCTATTCTGCTTTACTTTGTGCTCGTGAGATGCTTACTCCAGAGGATGCATCTGCTGATCTTATGCGGGCACTTAACAATCGTCTAGTTGCTTTATCCTTCCATATCAGAGAGTACTATTGGATTGATATGAGAAAATTGAATGAGATTTATCGATACAAAACTGAGGAATACTCATATGAAGCTGTGAATAAGTTTAATATCTACCCCGATCAAATTCCTACCTGGTTGGTGGAGTTTATGCCTGGTAAAGGAGGCTATTTGATTGGAAACCTGCAGCCTGCTCACATGGACTTCCGTTTCTTTTCTCTTGGAAATTTATGGTCGATTGTAAGTAGTCTTGCATCACAGGATCAATCACATGCCATATTGGATCTCATCGAGGCAAAATGGGCCGAACTAGTGGCAGAAATGCCTTTCAAAATATGCTATCCTGCCCTTGAAGGCGTGGAGTGGCGGATTGTCACTGGCTGTGATCCCAAGAACACGTACTGCACCTATGCCTGTTCTTTGTGATGTTCTCTTTCCTACTTCTTCCCACTTATCTCATACTCAGTTTTGTGTTGCAGTCCTTGGTCCTACCACAATGGAGGTTCTTGGCCAACATTACTTTGGCAGGTAAGGTGTTCTTAACTTGTAACATTTACTATTTTTTTTTTCGTTGCTAAAAATGAGATTAATTGATATAACTTTGAAGAGAGAGTTTTTTGTTGAGTTATAATCAATATTTTGGCCCCTTTATACCAGATTTCATAATTGGTTTCTAGCTATTACCTCCAACAGCTTTTGTTGAGAGGTTTCTGTATGATGTTCAACAAACTAGCATAAATGTCGAGATGGGATGATCCTTTTGGAATAAAATTCATGTTCTCCCTTCTCCTGATCATGCATCCTATCATCCTGATTTACGCTGAGGCCCTTATATGTCCGATAGGAACCTAACTTCTACGATCTGTTTTAGAATTATTTCTTGCTGAAAATCTTGAAAAGCTGCTCATGGAGTATGGAATATTCAATATATACCATGTCTTGGCAGTTGAGAATGTCCAATTACAAGTGGCTTATCACCTTTAAATGCTTAGCTTTTATCATTATTCTGAGCTGTAAAATCGTAATCAACACCCTTTTTTCTTCCAGGCTGCCCTTCCTTAGCATTACACTGTGATAATTCAGGTTGAGGTCTTCTAAAACACCAAACAATGGTGGTATTTCCATGAAATTTTAGGAATGTGTTCGATGAAGTCTATAATTTAATATTTTACCAATGATTTTGAACTTCTTATACTATAGACCTCTGTACTGGTATTGACTGCAAAAGCACATAGATATACAAGAACCTTACTGGTTAGTGTGATTGAAAATTACTTCTCTTTCTGGAGTATAGAAAGGAGTGGCTAAATAATTCATCAAATTAAACCCTATTTTTGGAATTTCTCAGCTTACCGTGGCGTGCATAAAGATGAATAGACCTGAAATCGCATTGAAAGCTCTCAAAGTTGCTGAGAAACGCATATCTAGTGACAAGTGGCCTGAATACTATGATACCAAGCGAGGACGATTTGTCGGGAAGCAGGCACGGCTGTTCCAAAATTGGTCGATTGCCGGATATCTCGTGGCAAAGCATCTCTTAGCCAATCCAAGCGCAGCAAATATCCTTGTGAATGAAGAAGATTCAGAGCTTAGGAATGCATTCTCTTGCATCATCAATGCTAGCCCAAGGAAACGGCGTGGATGGAAAAAACATAGCTTTATAGTGTGAGTATTACATTGCGAAGCGAAGAGGGATGTTGTTCAAATTCGAGTCTCTCTTCCAATTTTGAAGCCTTTGGACGAGTGAATGTATGAGGAGACAAGAGTTCTCAAGTGTGTTGACTGGAAGAAACAAAAAGAGTTCTTGTAAATTGGTAATGTAATAGGGAAGAAGGTATTTTTTTTTATTTTTTGGTCAGAAAGACTACTTGTATATTGATAATGTAGCATTAGAAATAATAAGCAATATGCCCCTTTCCGGGATGAGTTTTTCCCGCTCTTTATTTCCTTCTCCTGTGTAAGGGCAGCCAAGGGATTGGGATTTTGAGAAAGCGCTCAATTCTATTCGTTATATAGAACTAAAAACAAAATGTATTTTCAAACATAACACTAGTTTTAATTATTTATTTTCTATTACTATTACGTTAATAGATTCTCTCACGCGTGAGTCTCTTTGTTAAATTAAATGTATGCCTTTTGAAAGATGTTTGGAGGACCACGGAAGTTAAGCACCACACAACTAGGAAAAAAAGGAGACAAATACTCTTATGAGTTTGAATTTTCTCTTTACACTTAATTGATATACTTTAATCAAAGAACTATATTAGTTAAAAAAGATATTAATCAAAAATAAAGCGTAAAAATCTTAAAATAATGCATTAAAAGAGTGATTTCACTAATTTTCTTCCACAAGTAATAGAGTAGAGAAAAATATATAAAAACCCCTTAAAGCGTATGAATCTAAATTTTTACTCTTTATTTTTTATTAATATTTTTTTTAATCAAATAATTATATTAGTCAAAAGAATATTACAAAAGAATAAGCGGTATTAATCCAAACTCATACGCTCTTTAAAGTAATTTCTCAACAAAGTAATTTCTCAACAGGGAGAAAGAGGACCGTATCTATGGACCTCATATTTCATTATTTTGGGACCAACCATCTGAAACGGGTTTTAGGGGAAAATGGCTTTTTTTTTAAGGGGGAAATGGTTTTTATTTGTTAATACCCAACAAGTCATTAGCCACAGCCAGAAGGCCCAAATAACCAGAGTCATGACGTCATCAAACAATTTTTAGAAACACTCAAATGGAACATCCATCAGAAGACATTTTCAGGGTCCACTGATCATCTAGCATAATGGACACAATGCAGAACAAGTCATTAATTTACATCACGAGCAAGAATAGACTTTACATCACCAGCAAATAAGCATTGTGGTTGTGCATATACAACTTGTTCATCAAACCAAATCCAGACATCGGATCAACTAGCTTTCAACCATCATTTTTTCCTAAATGCTTTTGTTCTCTGCCAATATGCTGTCAAGCAATGATCCACAAGCATCCTCGAGTAAATCCAAAACCTGCCACGGAATTATGTCGAATAGTTTGCGTCAACTTGAAAGTGAAAGCGTGGAATAATTAGCTGGTTCTATACCAGTTCAATAAAAGCATTCGTGTTAATTTGCAGAATAACTCGGCCCACGGATAACCATTTACTCATGGTTACACTTTCGATCTCTATTTAAAATTTCATGGTCAATGCATGAATGCAAATGCAGGTTGGAAATTACCAGATGACATAGCACCAGTACATGAGTCGAGCAATAGCATGACTTTTTCTATCCAAATGCAACAAATATGAGTAATTCGAGACAATAAACTTGCTAAACAAAGTTCGTTTCTAAAACCATCAGCAACATTTCTGCTTGCCGGCCTTCAGAAAATGGATGCCATTTTTTTTTTATTTCTATTTCGGGATATCATCCCTTGCTTTTAGTGGAGTCATACCTAACATTTTAGTACGAGATAATCCCTTGATAGTTGATACTACAGGCCTAAAACATCATGGATCAGCTTAAACCACGTTACTGAATTTCTCGAAAGGTAACAGCATCACAGAATAAAGTAAACTTTGATTCTGATAAACAGACCAAATAAAGTGACGGATAATCTATTTTTCTGTCTCCCAAAAATCAGTGACGACAATGGTAAACGATGGTAAATTACCTTCTCAAAGCCTTGTTGTCCACCAAAATATGGATCCGGCACTTCAGTCTCCTCGTGCCTCTTGCAATAAGAACACATTAACTTGACCTGCTCAGCCGAAAACCGAATGAGAATACGTAATCTAGAAACACAACTTGACTGCAACAACATCTTTGTAGCAACATCTAACCTTCTTATGAGCGTCTTCAGGCAGAGGTTCTCTAAATTTCCACCGATTAAATGCCTCCAATATATCCTCTATATCCAACATCAACACCAGCAAAAGAATCACATGTAAGATTGCACTTCCATATCAATGTAAAGAAGAATCAAGTCAAAACACAAACACATTGATTCGAAGCCAAATCAACACCATTTCTACCTCTATTCTGCTCGTCCATCACGAGAATCAAATCAAAGTCTCTAAAATCAGATGGCCGGACAGGCCTCGATATAGATGTTATCTCAATCCCACGCCGTTTAGAGGCTGCCCTCATCCTTGGGTCTGCTTGGTTTCCCTTCAATACAACCAAAAATCAGCTTACGGAAGTGTGTGGTCTATACAAAATTACAAATATATACATACATATGCAGAGTAGTCTTTCACGGAAGACCGTCCTACACAGTAACATGTATAACTGAGAGGTGTAACATGATATCTATTTTATTAAAAAAAAAGTCCTAATAAATACATGTAATGAATCTATTTATCCCAAACCAATACTACACCTTTCGAAAGTAACTTGTTCATTTCGCTTGTTCGAGTTGAGAACTTGAATTTAAAAATGAATTCATAGGAGAGAAAACCCTATTGCACGAGTTGAGAACTTGAATTTAAAAATGAATTCATAGGAGAGAAAACCCTATTGCAGAAAAAGTTAAATTTGAATTTTTGTATAATAAAAATACTATAGTAAAAACTTGAATCTTGAATTGTGATTTGAACTAGCAAAATGAACACGACGTAAATACCACGTAACACACATCGCTGCTACAAGTTACTGTGCATAAGGACAGTAGAAACAGCTATATATAGATATCATTTAATGAGTCGCGTCATTAGAAAATATAAATCTTGAATATATATATATATATATATATTGTCAATATTTTAGCATTTCCATGTGTACATACACATCTTATTCCACACACGTTATAAGCTGGAACTTAACGGGCACTTAATTCCTTACAATAAAAAAAATAAAAAATAAAAAAGAAAGCACACTGATTAAGTAAACTAACCAATGCCATCGTTTCAAAATGCATACCTCATGATAACCAATGGTGCCAGCAGAGTCAATCTTGAACTTGGAATCCAAACCTCTTTTCTTGACCAAGTCAGTGAAGACTCCTTCTGCAGCTGGGCTTCTGCAGATGTTACCCAAGCACACAAACAGGACAGAGAACGGTTTGGTTTCCGTCTCTGTGCCTGATGATGGAGGAGTAGAAGCCGCCATTGACGCTCTGATCACGGACCCAGATGAAAAACACGAACTGGGTCTCTGGGAATTCTGACGACTGATTGGGTTTCGGAGAGATGAGAATTGGGTTGGTGGAAGAAGAAGAAGAAGAAATGGGAGTTTTGTGGAGAGAGAATAGGGTGAGTGGCAAAATCGTAAATTCGGAGGGCTAGCAGCAAAGTTGTATAATGCCCTCATGGTCTTTCTCTCAGCTGGGGCTTGTTTGGTTTGGAGAAATAATGGATACCAAAAAGTTTCCAACTCCCAAGTGAGGGTTGTTGTGTCGATGTGATTGGCTGGAAAATATGTTGGGATTTAAACTTTAGGCGTGGCCGTTGGGTCATATTTTATTAGTGGTTCGGACCAGTTCAACTTGGCCTAAAAGGGCTGGGTTCTAAAGAATTGAAATTTAAAGATACTACTTTTGTGAAAAAAGTAAGGTTAATTTTTAATAGGAAACTTTTAGGGTAAGACATGGATTTTCACTCCCACGGTAGAAGCTGCTGTTTTTAACTATTAGATTGTTTTTTATGGGTTATATTTGTACATGTTTGTATTAAAAATTTATAACATATTATTCCTACTTTAAATCAGATTTGTTAAAAATTTAATCCAACGAGTAAAATAAAATTCCTACCGGTGGAGTAAAAATGCATGTCTTGCCATAAGTTTTACTTAATTTTTAAGTCAAAGTGGTGCATACGAATAGATTTTAAAAATGGCAGACAACTTATAATTTACACAAAGGAGAAAAGTACAAATAATTCCCTTTTTTATCTAATCATGTGTTTATTTAACGAAATCAACAGTGATAATTTAAGTCCATTTTATTTCACCGATTCGAGTTTAGAATTCAAATTTTATTACAGTAAAATGCTCTCAGAAACAGTCACATCTAATTTTTTTACTACAATAAAAAACTCTCATATAAAATCACATTTCAACTTGAATTAAAAACTCAAATCATCGAACTAAATAGGCCCTTAGTAAATCCAAGTAATAAGAAGAATAAGATAGAGAAAGAGAGAGCCAATCTTGCACTCCTTTATATTGATTTTAATTGAAGAAATTGAATGGCAATAATAAGTTGATATGTTATAAACTAATAACTATTTAGTTATTTAAAATAACATTTTAGAAATTATATTATGGGGTTTAAGCACAAATGGCCGATTTAACGGCCTTTTTAAAGTAAAGGACCACACTTTTCAAAATTAGTTAAAAAGTGGTCATTTACTTTTATATTTTATAGTTTGAAGTAGGAAGAATCAAAAGGAGGAATAACAAACGGAACAAGACAGGTGGCAAGAAAGAACAACAATGAACCGTAAGCTCAAGTAGTCAACTTTTTAGCTCCTATCCTGCACAAGCCTCAGATTAGTTGAATGCGGCTAAGGGACAATAAAGCTACTTGAACTCAAATCTTCTGGCTTTGGGGCCGAAAGCACAGAGCAAATGATTTCAGCCATTAACACGGACAACCAATATTTCAGCTGTAATTCTCAGACAAGAAAGAAAAATGCTATATCAATTTTCATCTGGCCTCTCAGCTACTCATTCAGTAATCATATATATATATATATATAACATATATATTAAATTCTATGACTACCCACCAACACTTAAAGTTACATTTACACTATAAGCTATATTTTCAGTTAAAAAGAAAAGAGTAAAAGACATGGATGAGAAATTTTGGAAAAGAAAAGCCACCAGGCTTCTTTTCCACAGTTGAGAGGATTTAGCTAAAACACCTCAAACTCCGTGTGCTCTGATGTACCTTCTAACTCCTTACACTTGGTGCTCTCTTGTTTCTGAGAAGCAGGTGGTGCAGAACTTCCCCCATCGCAAAACTTGGGCAACTCCGGTGGTATTGTACACCGTATCAACGCCCAATTGAGGCCTTCGAAGAAAGGGTGCTGCTTTATCTCTGCAGCCCCCTTCACCGATCCTAGTCGACTTTCAGGATCCTTCACCAAGAGGCCTCTTATCAAATCCCTCGCGTGGAAACTAACCATAGGGCTATTTGGGAACTTGAGACTCTTTGACACAACGTTGGCTAAAGTATCCTCGTTTCCAGAACCCTTGAAAGGTGTCCTGCCATATAATAGCTCAAACAGAAATATTCCAAAAGTCCACCAATCAACAGCGTTCCCATGACCCTCACCTTTGATGATCTCCGGAGCGAGGTATTCATGCGTTCCGACAAAGGAGTTAGATCGAGCACTAGTTGGTTCTACTACCAGCTGTGGCAGTGGGCTAACTTGGGCAGCAAGCTCAGATTTTATTTTCCGAGATTTTGCTGCAGCAGATAAAAGTCTAGGAGTGAAGCAGGAAACCTGCCAGGACGGCTGGAGGCAGAAAGGATCAATGCAACTAGATTCAGTGCATGGGCTTGACATCTTTTTTGCAGGTTCCGCAACAGGTGATGATGATTTAAGAACCATTGGATTGACGGCACATCTAAGTGACAAATCAAAATCTGAGAGCATGATGTGCCCATCTTCTCGTACCAGAATATTTTCAGGTTTCAAATCTCGGTAAACAACTCCTAGCATGTGTAAATACTCTAGGGCAAGGAGGACCTCAGCAACATAGAACCTGTGAAAAGTACGGTTAAGCTCATAAAATCAACTGTTACTTCTGGTACATAAAAATATTGCCATTACTGCTACATAAAATGCTGATGAAGCCCCCTAAAAAGTAAAAAAATAAAAAAAATAAAAAAAGGATGCTGATGAAGCAGTATTAAGTATTATCATATAGTAAATATTGCTATTTTTCCCTTATTCAACGTAAAAAAGCTTTCTTCTTTACTAAATCTAGTTTTCATCATGCAGAGAAAGGAACCCACTTGGACAATAGGGAAATAAAAACCAACCACGAAAAATTACAATCAGCAGATACCAGATCAGTTGTTGCCTGCTAGCTAAAAAGATCTAATCTCACTGGCACCTCCTGAACTTTTGGTCATTCCTAGTTTGCCCTACCAAACTTTAAAAAGACAGTCGGTTTACCTGTGGTCACGTGGTATTTTTCTATTTGTTTTCAGTAGAAATTTTAACAGAAAGATCCCATGATCGCACTACACCTCTTTTTCCATTATGTTCAACAGAAATTATAATAGATGGGCCTAAATGGGAGTACTTTAAAATTGGGGGGCAAAGTAGGAGTTTTTAGAATTCGAGGGACAAACAGAGAATGACCCTAAAGCTCAGGGGTCACCAGTGAGATTAAAATTACTATAGTAGAGGTTAAGCCCCAAGAAAATCACAACTGATCCAACTGCAATTGTGTGAATCAGACCAGCCAAAGAAAAGTTGATTCTAAGATTTATGGTTCTTGGACATTGCATCAGACCAACTCCCTACTGTGTGGTTGAGTTTCTCCAACTTCTCAATTAGCACCTAAGTTCTGGCCTTCCCTTGTGCGACGATACTAACACATAGCTTTATTGTTCATTTATTTATATACTAAAGTTTTAACCTACACTTTCATTCCTACAGTTTGAACCACCTCTTAGACTAAATGTTTTCACATCACAACTAAGTTCCGAGTGCATTCATCCAGTGTACCAGCAAGAGCATAGCTTCTTGGATTTGCTTAGCTTTCCAAGCCAAGGGAAAACATAGATACATCCTCCGAATTTGACTCATGTTTATACCAGTCAATTTATGTAGCATCAATGGAATGTATCAACAGAATCTATTTTCAATCATTTTTTAGTCGAAAAGGCTCAAGGGTAAAAAGCACCTAAATTCAAACTTCTCTCCTCAGAAATCAAAAGACACTCAGGATATCTCTTCACATGTACACTGACTAACCACAGCGCTAGCACAAAGAAGAAAACAAAAACAAGAAACTGGGTCTGGAATACATCACTTGGGAAAAACAGATGTACATGTATTTTTCAGACATAGATAGAGCAGAAAAACATGTTTGTACCCCACGAAAACAGACACGTTGTCATGATGAATTTTTGTTCCCACCCACTCAAAAGTTAAGGTCGATATGTAAGTTATAATGCAGAAATGCACATGCACAGATGACAAGAACTGGAGTGTATAAAGGATACCTAGTGGCTTGTTCAGCAAAGCTCCTGGTAGGTTGCTTTTGCCGCAATACATGCAGATCTCCACCTGGGCAATACTCCATAACTAAGCACGAAAGCTTGTCTGACACAAAATGTGCAAATAGCGTAGGGAGAAAAGGATGATCCAGCATTTGTAGTATTTCTCTTTCAGTTTGGGCCCGCAGCATTTTTTTCCTAGTCGCCAAAAACTCATTGTCCATCACTTTCAAAGCGAAAAGGCAATTTGTTCCAGTAAGCTCAGCAAGATAAACAGTTCCAATGTCCCCACAACCCAGCCTCCTGAGCAGCTTAAAGTGCCTGAGACCCAAGCTTCCATGTTGCTTCTGAATATGATGGATGGCTTCCCATCTCAAATCTTTTGACATGTGAGGCCTCTTGCCACTACGACTTGATCCACTGAGACTGCTTTCCTCGCTAGTGCTTGTGCAGCTACTGTACTCACCAATACTACTCTTTGAGCTTTGTGAGAATTCCCCCTTTTCTCTTGATATTGATCTCTCATCACCCTTTCTCACAAGAGATATAGTTGTGCTATTGCAATTCGAACTGAAATTCGGTTTACTTGAACTCATATCCCCAACACCTGAACTTACTTCAAAGCTAACATTTGTACTGCTGGACATTGGAGAAGCTTTCTCACTTTCTTCCCTTTCATGGTTTGGAGTAAAGCTCTGTGTCTGGTTCTCCAAATTAGTCGTGTTAGATTTTAAATCATTATCAGCTTTCCTGTCATGTGAATTAGAACTATGAGAGGCAATTAAATCCTGCTTTGCTTTATTCTTAAAAGAGTTCTTGCTCCGGAATATAAATCGAGGACTACTGCTAAACGATTTGCTTATCTTACTAGCAGTGCTGGAGTTAGATAGAGAAGCAGCAAAATGCAACTTATCTTTCTGCCTCTTGTCTGAACTTGGAGAACTAATTGGAACCTCAGTTGAGGTCAAAGTACCATCGTCCACCTGAGGAATTTTCTTGCTAGCATGAGGGCTTGATGAAGAATCAGCAGATTCCTGTTTCCTAATGCCATTAGTCCCACCCTTGACTTCAGTTGGCAAGGGAAAAATCTCAGTCTGTGGCGTTATCCCTGAGTCTGGCATCATTTCACCAGCCAAAGAAGTAGAAGCTTCAGAGGTAGAGTTCAATAACTCTTCCCCAGGAAGTGGCACGGCTTCAGACATCTTGTCAGAAAATTTTGGTGTGTCCGGAACAAGGGAGATCTCAACAAAATTCCCTTTACCTTCATTTATTGGAAGGCCAGATCCATTGGCCTCAACCACCACTGCCCTATACAACCTTTTAATATTTCCTGCTTCCGAGATCCCTGAGGGACCAGACGGCTTTGCTAGTCGCTTCATGGCAGCCATCTCTGATGCCTGAGAGATGCATAATCCTCTCAGTGCTTGCTTCAAACTAACAGGTTCTGAAATTCCAATTCCTGATGCCTGCGACATGCCAACTCTCATAGGCCTTTTCATAGCACTTTTTCGCAATGGATCTTTACCGAGTTCATGTGACAAACCTGAATTTCTAGCTGAACTTCTAATGTCAATTGCCTGAAAGAGACGATTTATATCATCCTCAATAGAATACTTTTTCTCTGTTTTCGTTATCAACTGGTCTCCAGCTTTCTCATCCATTGTTGACTCAAAACATACTTCTTCTTTGGATTCAACTATTTCACTGGTACTGGGTAATGTACCCATCTCTGCTGAATTCATCGAGATATCCAAAATTCAGAAACAACACAAAAAAGCTGTCCTAACCCATTTCTGATGACGTGCTACGGAGATAGAGGAGCCCAACAACCAGAAGCCACACTACATACCCTTTCAGTTCCTCTTCAATCATTCCGATCCTCAGATTCAAATAACCCCTTAAGATCCCTCCACTAGTTTCAAAATGACGCATCCAAATCCTGCCAGCTGCATTTCAGTTAAAAAAGGTCAAGGGAAAAAAAAAAAAGGTCATATCTTAAATGTGGCACTTTACCATCCACAACAACACTACAAATTGCATAAATCCAAAACTACTTTAGATAGAAGTAAAAGTGGAGGCACCTGTTCAGGAGACAGCTAATGTTATCACATTCACTAATCACAAGTAATGCACTATTCAAACACACGTTGACAAAAACATAACTATTTAGTTGAATAACGTTTTTCCTTTTTTAAGTGAAGGTGGAAAAAAAAAAAAAAAGATATTCAAATAGGTTCTCATTCACAAAATGCTTGACGCTTGACGCCTGACCCAACAAAACTATTTTGAGGACAACACTGGAATCACTGCTTCAGAAACCTGTTTTGAAACTAAAGCTCACGGCTAACAAACAAGGGCAAAATACTTGATAAATGCTAAAGAAAGACCGAGTAAACTATATTATCACGTAATATTTATTATAAATATGCAGAAATAACTGCGAAACTGCTATTATCACCACAAATAAGAAGCTTACCAGCAGATCTTTATAACAAAATAACAAGCAATCAGCTGAAGAACTTGTTGACTCTGATTATCTCTTTTTTCTTTAAAAAAAAAAAAAAAAGTAAATTGATTATAATTCACTAACATATATCATCACCCAGAAAATGGCAAAACCAGAACTAGAATATAATAAATTCACCATTTTATGAACTACATGAACACGATCAAATTTAGATAAAATTATGGTCCGTACAAATCAGAAACAAATTCCCATAATCAAACAAAAAGTAACTCACAAAATAAAATCATACATATAAAAAAATAACACAGAACAGACACAAAACAAAAAAAAAAGTTGGAAAAGTGCAAGCAGAAACCTTACCGGAACAAAGGATCGGGAACTGAAACCAGCAATCGGCAAAAAATTTTCTTTCCCCAAAACAGAGAGAGACCAAACAAAAGAAAAACTTAGGGTTCGAAAAGGGAAACGAAAAGAGATTACAACTTTATATATATATATATATATATATATATATATTCGACAAGAGTTATTTAGAAAGAGCACGAGAAGAGCAGTGGGGGGTTGGGTTTGGGAGTGAATGAAGAGAGAGAGAGAGAGAAGTTGGAAATGCAAATCACGAGAAGTCTCAGAGAGAGAGACACACACAAAACACAAAACAGAACAGAGAGAACCGGTGCTTCACTGCTGTTGGTATTGTTTTCTTTTTCTCTTCTCTGTGGAAAGAAAGAAATGGCGGAAAAATAAACAAAAAAACCCAATTAATATTACGTTTTTGCGGTATCGATGTTTTCTTTATATTCTCTGGTACGATTGTTTTATGGTTAAATTTGTTTTAACCGTAAATTAATTTTTTATTTTTACGTGATTTTATATAAATTTAATGAATAAAAAACTTAATCTATTAACGTGTTTCGTATTTAAAAAAATCTTTTATATTTTATGTCACGTTTATTTTATCAATTTAAGTTTATGATTTGAATTTTATTATAATAAAAAATTTTAAAAAATAATCACATTTAAGTCTCATTTATTTTACTGATTTGAGTTTAAAATTTAAGTTTTGTTAGAGTAAAAAATTCTAAAAAACGGTCACATCTAATTTTTTTGTTATGATAAAAAGCTCTCATATAAATTGACATCTCAATTCGAATTAAAAACTCTAATCAACGAATTAAACAGATTCTTAATCTTTTTACTACAGTAAAAAATTTTCACGTAAAATCACGTCTCAAATTAAACCGTCTTTAAATTAGAGAGTTAGAGACCGTACACGTTATCACGAGATCTTTTCTTCTGTGAAAGGAACGAGAGTGATAGAAAAAAAAAATGAATTTTTTAAATAAAAAAATGAATTTGAGAAGAGGAGAGAGAGGAAGGAAAAAAAGAGGAAGGGGGGGCTGGGGAGAATTCGTACGCTGTCAAAACAGAGACCCGCTAGATCCGAAAATCAGATTGGTGTTTTTGGACCCTCCAAAAAGTTCATTATTACTTCATCCCACACCTTTTTTTGTATTTTTTTTTTACACAAAAAGAAAAAAAGGAAAATTCTATTACTTCATCCCACACATTTAAGAATATGTTTGGTTCATGAATTAGAATCATGAGATTAAAATTATTTTTAATTTATATGTATTTTTTATGAAAAAAAATACTATAGCGAACCATGAACCATGATTCGAATCAGAGAACGAATCCTCCAACCAAAAAGGCTCTAATTTCAATTCAAAAAATGGAAAATTTTACGGTACCGAATATTTTTATCCGCAAGATATAAACCGTCAAAATATGAGCTCACCATTGCATAGGTGTGCCCATCTACACAAGATTAACTAAAAACCTTTAAAAAAATGATGAGCAAAAAAAAAAAAAAAAAAAAAAAAAAAATTTAAAAAAAAACCAAAAAAAATCCAGAGAGAATCTTAAAAATGAAAGAAAATAAAAAAAGATGATTAAAAATGAAAAACAAAAAAGAGGAAGGACTAAAAAAAACAGAGAAACAATGAGGGCTTTAAAAAGAAATAAAAGATGAAGAAAGGAAAAATAAAATAAAAAATAAAAAAACTATTTTCGACCAAAAGGTTTTGTTATGACCGAAAGCGTTGTAAAAGCATCAGTATTTACACTTTCATTCGTTAAGAAAAAAAAAAATTGTTTTACGCAGAGTTACTGACCCGTTCATTTCGCTGATTCGAGTTTTACTATAATAAAAAATTCTCATAAATAATCACATCTAATTTTTTTACTACAGTAAAAAATTCTCACATAAAATCACATCTCAATTCGAATTAAAAACTCGAATCAGCAAACTAAACAGATATTTACGCAGTTATGTATTTGTAGGGATTTAAGTAGGGAAATCGTAATTCAAATTTCAAATAAATGATAGAATTAACCATGAAGATTGAGCCGAAGTAAGATTACTCCCTCATTTAGAATTATTTCGTTGTATTTAGCACATTAGAGGACTATAAATAAGGGATTTATTGGCAATCACGCTTGTAATTCTTTCATATTACGTTGAATCTCCTCCAGCTACTCTAAAATTCCGTGTTTTTCTTATTATTTTCTGCATTTAATTTACTGTCGAATGCAAATGACTTGATTTGGCAAGGTGAAAGAGGAGTTCTTCCTTGTCGACAAGCTTCCAGCATCAACACTGGTATTTGCTAATTTTTATGCCAATTGACTTTCTATTTCCATTTGTACTTCTAATGTTCACTACCAAATCATCGCCAACAAATGTGTGATATGTTATTTATGACATAATCCACATTAACATATTACGACAAAAGGATGGACTGTGGACAAAATTAAAGGCTGCGTTTGAAACTCGTTCTAAAATGATTTTATTTTTTATATGAAAATAAAAATGAAAACATTTTCAATCTTAGACAGAAATTATTTTTAAAAATGCGTTTAGTAATTTTATCAAGAAATTGTTTTCAGTATAAAAAAATTAAAAAAAAAAAAAAAAAAAAAAAAAAATCAAAATGTTTTTAATAAAAAAAAAAAAAAAAAAAAAAAAAAAAAAAAAAAAACTCATCAATGTCTTTCTCTCTTTCTCTCTGCTCGAGGGATGAGAAAATGAAAAACGACTTTTAGTCGTTTTTCATTTCTCTCTTATTTTATACTAAATCAAAAAATCGTTTTCATTTCTGTTTTTTATTTTTATTGTGCCAAACACCGTTTTAAAAACGTTTTCATTTTTTTTTCCTTAAAAAAGGGATCAATTCAAAACACGGCCAAAGAAATGTTAACATAATTTTCATTACTCAAGAGCTGATCATAAACAAAATTGGAATTGTTGGATGTCTTTAGTTGTTTTTTTTTTTAATCTGTTGTGATAACCAACACAAAAGCATAGGGAAAAAGTTATTTAAAACAACAATACCAACGGACCACTAGATCCTATACAACATAGGAGTTGTTACACGAACAGAACAAACTCCACATATCGTGCTTAAAAGGTAATCTCTGCAAATATTATAAAAATAAATAAAAATAAAAAAATAAAATCAAAGTTTCAAAGCTAAAGGAAAAAAGTTGGCTGAAACAAAAAAACAAGGCAGATGGCATGTGAATAAAAAGGTTAAAGGTACACAAGAAAGAAGCATATTGTCTCCATAGTAGCCACACTTGTTACAAGGAACAATGCACAAAGGGCATTGAACTTGGAAAGAAGGGGGGAAAAAAAGCAAAAAGACATGTGATTATCTAGTAATAATGATAAACATAGCTCCAAATAAACAATAATCAATGGCATATCTTTTGGGTTTAAAAAAAAAAAACAAAAAACAAAAATGGGTTCAAATTTCGCTTGCTTTTTTTTTCCTTTCCTTCTCTCTTTTTTTTTTTTTTTTTTTTTTTTGCCCCCTCTCTTGGGAGGTGAAAAAAGCTTCTATTGATTTGCCTATCAACTATCATCATGATTCGTGAAGCAATGTAACCCCATCTTTGACGGTCCATTAGGAGAAATTTATGGGGTTTGAATGGGCGCGGTTACTTGCTAAAAAGAGAAATAGTGATTGTTCAGTGTGTCTTCCTTGTCATGATTCTTAGAAGATGGGTAAAAAAACAGTAAAACTTAAAAGATTGAGGTTCTAGTCATCTAGTCATTTCAGAGAGAGAGAGAGAGAGAAGAGGCAACTAAAGAAGAAGAAGGAGAGAGAGAGAGGGAGAAGAGGCAACTAAAGAAGAAGAAGGAGAATGAGAGTTTTTGGCATAACTTTTTATTCTTCCATATTTATCACGTAGAAGTATAATTGCTGCTAACCAGCCTAAAAATAGTTGTCATCTTTAAAATTATCTTTGAGCAGCCTCTCCAAAAGGAGCAGTGTTTTACAATTCACGATCCATTTATGTTTACTTTATTAGACCATCTTCAATGTAAATCTTAGACCGTATTTAAAATTAATCCTGTTTTTATTTTTCTTATTTAAAAAAAATAAAAATATTTTTAAAACGGTGTTTGGTGTAATAAAAATAAAAAAAACTGAAATAAAAATAATTTTTTAGTTTAGTGTAAAATGAGAGAGAAATGAAAAATCGTTTTTCATTTTTCATTTTTGTTTTCTCATCTCTTGAGCAGATAGAGAAAGAAAGACATTAATGGGTTTTTTTACACTGAAAATAATCTTTTGATAAAATTACCAAACGCATTTTCAAAAATGATTTATGTCTGAGATTGAAAACGTTTTCATTTTTATTTTTATACAAAAAATAAAATCATTTTAAAACGAGTTCCAAACGTACCCTTAATGTCAATGGTATATTTATCATCAAAAAGTGTGATATAATATGTTTTTTTTACTCTAATACATAATGTTATTTAAAATACTAAATCTACTTTTTTCATAGTTATTAAGTTTTGAAAGTTGTAAAAGTAAACTTTTATATTCAAAATAATTAGAAAATGTAAAAATTACATTGATTACATAAAAAGGTAAACATTTTAATTAATAGCAATTAAATGTCAAATTTCTCATGTGTTATATTTATTAAAAAATTTGTCATAAAGTATAGCATATGAGAAATTTAACACAATAAATAATATTGTATTAGAGAGTATTTTTTATACTCAAATACTAAATTTGTAGTTTGCACGTCAATTATAACATTAGATTGGAGATGCTCTTATAAGCTAAGATTTTTTAACAAAATTATTTGTCTTTTTTTCTTGTGTAAATAGTGAGTGAAAGTTGTCATGTTCATTTAACCGATTCTGAGTTTAGAATTAGAGTTTTGTTACAGTAAAGAGCTCTCAGAAATTGACACATCTAACTTTTTTACTACAGTAAAAAAATTTCACATAAAATTACATCTCAATTTAAATTAAAAATTCGAATCAATGAACTAAATGAGAATACTGTCTGTCTACTAAAAAATCCATCCCGCACCAAATCTCCTATTAAAATTTGAAAATACGAAGTCTAAGGAAACGGGCACCAAAGCCATAAATGCATCTAAATGCAATAAAAATCAAACATGAAATCTAAATCGGTGGGGATAAGTTGGGAATTCTAATGAGAGGAACTGCTATTTTATCTCATCAATATATAAAATCAGTTATTTTCAAGTTTTAACCCACTCAAATAGATTTTTAATTCAAATCATAACTCAAATGTGCACATTCAAATACAAACTCAAATTACAACTTTAACTTAAATTATAATTTAAAGTCAACTCAATATCTACGCTAAAATCACTATAATTCAAAAAGGTAACAGAACAAACTCATAATCTACGAATTTTTACTGGTCTGATCCTGAATATGTATCTAAAAATCTAACTTTGAAAATGAGTCAATTTCTATTAAAGCGTGATAGACTCGTGATATGCTTACTTTGTGACGGTAACATGCAAACAACTTCGAATATGTGCGATAAATATTCCTCGTCTATATCCCATTATAGCTTTATATCATTACTATAAATTGAAGTCATTCTATACATAAATTCATAACATATACACATGCTGATGTGATAATCAGCAGAAGTTAGAAAGCTTTCCATTTTGCCTGAAGCAATGCTATTTGACACTAACGGTGTTAAGTACTATCCACTAATAAAAAATAGAATATACGTATAAGACCCGCATTTTATTTATTAGTTGTGTGTTTAGCACAGGTGGTAGTGGTGGCCATAAACATTTTTTTTTTTTTTATGACATTATAGTGTCCTCTTTTGGAGAAATGATCCTACAAATCTTATTAACTGGCGTATAACGGCATTTACAATCTAGGACATATTGATAAACCAAACTATATATGATTAATCACATTTATTGATAAACCAAACTATATATGATTAGTCATATATTTCGCTATAGATGTCTTTTTTAGGTGTCTACATTTTCATGGACCAGATAGGACCAAAATAAACAGTAGGACACAAAGAAATAAACTTTAGGCAATGCATTAAAATGAAGTAATTTGTAATCTATAAAGAGAGAGAGAGGAGAACTAATCAATGTTTAATATTGATTTGACGAAAGGTTTTGCTCCCGCGAGTTGATCATTTGTCAAATTGTATATGGTTGTGATTAATGTTAGTAATCCACCTATTTGATGTGAACCGAAACCCAACATAAGCATATTGTCGGCAAAGCTTGCAAAGAACCATCTAGACTCAGGAGGAATTGACAGGTAGCATAGATAAATAAATAGTGAATGATTTGATTAATATATATGATCATCTGCCAATTTATTTTTCTATGATATGTTTATGATAATAACGACGATAGTAATTAAAAATGATTTATTTATAAATTAATTAATTTATAAATATTTAGGACCTGTTTCGTTTTACTGATTCGAGTTTTTAATTCGAGTTGAGATGTGACTTTATGTGAGAGATTTTTATTGTAACAAAAAAGTTATATGTGACCGTTTCTGAGAGTTTTTTTTACTGTAGCAAAACTCGAATCGGTAAAATGAACGGGGCTTTAAGTGACGATGTAGCAGCAATTAACGATAATGTTGCTGCCAAAAACACTTTTAGTGATGACTTCATGGTTTTTTTCCGTTGGCAAATATGGAGCTAAAGAACCTTTTCGTTTGTTGTTGTGTTTAGTGAAAAGATAGTTTTGCTCGATTGCATTTGGCAGCTAAGGTGAGGGATAAAGTAATTTTCCTCTGATTTGATACTAAATGTTACGTTTCTGCTACCATTTCACTTGTCAAATTAAAGATGTAAAGGTTAGGAGTCCATTTCATTTGTCAAATTAAACATTCGGTCATCAATAATACACATATATGTTTGCTGATATTTGCACATGTATTTGAATATATTTGTCTATCTGCATAACTAAAGAAGAATGGATTTCTCCTTTTTATGCTATGTTTGGTAAGAAAGAAAGAAAATAGGATAGAAAGAAAATATGTAAGTGATGAAAAATAGCAATGATGGAAAGGAAATTGATTTTCTTTTATGTTGTTTGGTATGAGAAGATGGAAAAAAAATGAGCTTACCTTCACTTGTTTGGTATTAGAAGTTAAATTAAGAGGAAATAAAAAATCTTACTCGTAAATTACTTTTATACCTTTAAATTTTTTGCTTGGATGTTGATGGAGAAAATGGTAGTTTAGTAACTTTGCACACTTTAATGAGTTGTCCTCATTTTTCATCTCATTTTCTGCCCACTTGTGGAAAGAAAAAAAATGGTGGGGGCCACATGTATTATTTTTCACTCAATTTTCTCTTCCTTTCTCTTTTCTTTCCTACCAAACAACATATATTTTCATTTTCTCTCCTAAAATCCCTCCACATTTTTCCTTCCTTCTACTTTTCTTTCCTACCAAACATACTCTTAGTTGTCCAGGAAACATGCTGTTGGCGCTTTTTTTCATTTTTATTTTTTTCTCTCTATCTTTTTATTTATTTATTTATTTTTTAAAATTCTAACTAAAGAATAAAGTTTCTACTTTAGTTGTCAAGGAAACGTGTCGTTGGTTTATTTTTTTTAATTTCCTTTTTTTTTTTACTTCTTTCCTTCCCTTTTTTTTATTTTAAAAAAAAAATCCTCCTTTTTTCTCTCAAATCTTTCTTTTTTTTGGTCTACTCTTTCTATATTCATCATACATTTTGAGTTAATTTTATAAATAGACTTTGAGGTTTACTTTCAATTTTATTTTAATTCATGACTTTTAAACATCACATAATTAGTTCATGAAATTTTATTTTATTCAATTCTAGTCTTTTTATTAATTAAGTGTTAAAATTTAATAGAATATATATAAATTAAGCATCAAAATTGAAAACGATTAAGATTTTGAGACTAAGATTTTGAAAACAAAAAAGTTTTCCCCATTTTCTTCTCTTCTGTCTTTTTTGTTCTACCATTTTTACATTCAAAAAACTTTTTCCTATTTTTCTTCTCTTCTATCTTTTTTATTCTGCCATTTTTACATTTTTATTTTTTTGTCCTATTATACTTTTTTTTAGATCTAAATTAGCCCTTATAAATATAATTTTCTCTTTAATTTCTCGTTTAAATAATTCCTGTAAGTATATATCCCTGTCTATTTTTTCAAAATAATGTTTCATGATAAAATGTTTCGTAAGTGAGTTTTTTTATGGATTTTTTTATACAATAATATATTGGTAGGTTAAGTTTTTTTATATATTAGATATGTATAAAATCACGTAAAAATAAAAAAATACACATATCAAATAGTTAGAAAATATTAACTTACTAGTACGTGAGGCATGACAGAGAATCTCTTAGTGGCTGGTTGGTATACGAATTCTGAACTCGGAATCATGATTCTAGGTTCAAATCAATATTTGTTTACAAAAAGTAAAAAGCAATTTTTATTTGACTCATTCAGAATCAATATTTGGTTTGGATGATTCTGATTCAAGGTTTGAATCTTGATGTGAATGTTTTAAATCATGAATCACCTATGATTCTAAAACTACCCACCCTCTTAGTTTTAAGTGGTTCAAACCTCTGATTCTGGTTCTAGTTTCAAAGCTACATTTTGAACCTAAAATCATAAATCATGATTCTAATTTCAAAATCAAAATTAGAATCACCAAAATTTGAACCCTCATATCAAACATACTAAAGTCTCGTTCACTTCGCAGATTCGAGTTAAGATATGACATTTTTTTAAAACTTTTAATTGTAGTAGAAAAAGTTAGATGTGACATTTTTTGAGAGCTTCTAACTGTAGAAACTTAGAACTGAAAACTCGAATCGAAAAAATGAACGAGACCTAAATTCTTAGAGGACTTAAATAAGACAAATGTAAAGTTGAAAGGCAAAGTTGAAAGAGAGTTAGAGAAGCCTTCTCATTAGTACTTTAGTTTTGTTCGATTGCCGATGAGAGGGGAGAAGAGTAAAGAAAACCGAGCGAAACGCATATAATAATATATATTTCTTTAAAAATCAAATTCATTGGTAGGGTTGTTCATAGATTGGGTAGGTGCGGGATATGGCTTTTTCTTCTCCCGTTTTAAAGGGTGCGGGTTGCACATATTTAGCCCCAACGATATTAGAAAAATTTCACAACCCAATGATATTTAGGTTGGGTTGGGGCGGTGCGGGGTGGGTTTGGTAGTCGGTTTCAACATTCAAAGAATCAAAGACTCAAAATTCAATCCAACATTTAAAGTTCATCATCAAATAGAAATAATAACTCCAACATTCAAACATATAGAAATTCAAAGTTCAATCCAACATCAAACATGAAGCAAAGTAGTCCATCTAACATCAAACATGAAACAATGTAATCCATCCAACATTAAACATGAAGCAAAGTAGTCCATCCAACATCAAACATAAATTAGTATACACTCATAAATTAGTCTTAACATAAAGTAAATATAGAGGCTTAATTCAAATATGAAGAAATTAGAGAGTAAAAATGAGTTGCTTGCCTAGGGTTAGATATTAGAAGAGGCAAGTTAGAACGCGAGTTGAGTTAGAGTGTGCGGGCCATTATAGACCCAACCCACATCCCGTCTTAAAATTTTGGGTCATACATTAAATGAGTCGAAAAAAAAATTTAGTATTAAAAATTACATTTTTCAAATTGGGTCGGTGTGGAGTAGGTTAGGCCCGCGGATTTTATGGGTTTATGAACAGCCCAATTCATTGGACTTGGAAGAACCTTAAAAAGAACTTCGCTGTTTTGCTTATTCGCGCTCCGGAAAAAAAAAAAAATTAGAGAATGGAGGAGCCTCAGAACGGCAATGACGGCAATGGCGGCTCGGCGGCGGAGCCTGTGGTGGGACCCGGCCCTGCCCCTCGTGCTCGCCCCAAGCGACCTCTCCAGTTCGAGCAAGCCTACCTCGACACCCTTCCCTCCGCCAACATGTATATGCCCAAACTCCTACTCCACAATTAGGGTTTAGGGTTTTAGGGCTTTTACTTATTCTTGTTGTTGTTCATGGATTGAAGCTTTTGTTTATAGTTTGGTTGTTCAAGCTCTAATCTGTTGTTATTTAGACAAGATCAATCTTTTTTTTTTTTTTTGCTTGCTTGCTTTATGAATTATCTCTTTTTCGGTTTTTTTTCTATTAAATTGAAATTGATTTTATGTACGCGGATGAAAGCTGATACTTTGACGCTTCCCAAATTAGGTTTTAGGTTTTGAGTGTTGTGTTTTGAAATTTTGATTGAATGCTGTTATTCAATCTTTTAACCATTGCGTACTAAGATGGAGAATTCAGTTCTCTTCGCCACGCCATTTTGCTTGGGCTGAATTATTCTATTTTTCCAAATTTAAGAGTGAAATTGATTTTATGCTTGAAAAAAAAAAGCTGTGATTTCTTCTCATTTACTTGTTTTTTTGGGTTTTTCATGTGGTAAATAGGTACGAGAAAAGTTATATGCACCGCGACGTCGCTACACATGTTGCTGTGTCAACTGCAGATTTTTTCATAACTGGCAGTGCTGATGGTAAAACAAAGATGTTCCTTGTTAACATCTCCCGAATATTGCTGTGCACTAGTTATTATGCTTTTACACCATAGTTGTTCTTGTTCATTTTACACTAATGAATTGGTAATATGGTAGAGATAAATTTCAGAATAAAAGTAATATTTTTTTAATGACAAATAGCAAATTAGTGGTTCAAAAATATCTCTTGAGTATTTGGCAATTTTATCTGCTTTATTATATTTTCCTAGTGGCTAAAATGTCTATTAAGAGCTTCTGCTCGGAAAATATTACAAGGAGAGTGCATGTCATTGGAAATGAGTATAATTAAAACACGTTAACAGTATTGATTTGGTTAAACATGAAATAAAATGGGTCATAACTAAGTTATATTAGTCAATTATAATGAATTTATTACCAATGTGATGTCTGTTGGCCAGGCCTTCCATGTTTGATAAAGATGTTGCTGGTAACCAAGTATTTGCTATATTTTTCCCCTTTTGACGATCTGGTTATCCAAGGCGTTAAGTTTCTAGAATATAGAGCTTTATTTTCACTCTGTAAAACGATTTAAAGCAAACAAATGGTACGCACTGTCAGTTAAGTATTCTTGTAATTTCACTTTCACTAGAATAGTGCGTGTATAGCTGGTGTATGTATTATGTTCTGACTTCGTCTCCTTTAGCTTAAAACATGTTTTTGCTTACATCTCCGTCCTTTTTTGTTTTTTCTGCCAGGACATTTAAAGTTTTGGAAGAAAACGGCTACTGGCATCGAGTTTGCTAAGCATTTTAGATCCCACCTTGGTCCGATTGATGGCATAGCTGTGAGTTATTCCTTTCGTGTCATAGTGCATTTTGTGATTTTTTTTCCCTTCCCTTGATATTCCCGTGTGCAAATAACATTAGCTTACGAATTTGGAAGTACATGTTCAAGTCAAGTCACAAGCTAGGAATTTTCTATTGAATAGAATTTTCAAGTCTATGGTATTTCACTTTTTGAATAGAATTTTAATCGAGGATCAACCTTTTCCATTGAGTGCATTGTAATCTACATTCGGAAGGAAAGTGCAAGGCCCGTGGGTGTCTTCAAGATCATGTTAAGCAATCGCATTGTATTACCTCCTAAACATGCACGCATGAGCACATTAGGAACTTGGCACGGTTTCTTTTCCCTAC